CCATCATCGCGGGCTGGGATGACGGAAACATATCTTTCGAACATACCTGGACTCACTGTCCGCCGCTACCCGACCCCGTGCACAAGATGGTTTCATGGGAACAACGGTTCGAAGAGCTCGCCGATCTGGTGGCCACCACGCCTGAGCCCGAGCGCCAAATGTACACGATCTCACTTGAATTGCTCAAGGACTGCTTCAAGCAAACATTTGGCACCGAAGCGGAGCCGGAGGCGCACGTCCAGGGCCGATTTGAAGTCGTTATGCGATGGCTGTATAGCATGAGCGACGACTTTGTAATTCGCATCCAGCAAAAGGAAGCGCTATCCCTGATATTGCTAGGGCACTTTAATGTCCTGGTTCAAACCCTCGAACATTTCTGGTTCATGCAAGGCTGGTCGGAGCATCTCATGAAAGGGCTGTTCGTTACTCTGCCATCTCAGTACGCCCAATGGCTTCAATGGCCAGCCGAACAGGTCAAGAAGCCGGGGTCCGTCGACCACGGTGTGCTTTCAGTTCAAAAGATGATTGATTGAAGCTTCGCCTTCTTGACGTATCGCAAAAAAGCTTCTCAACGTCTTGGCGCTCGCTGCCGACCAAGGGCGGTGGCCTAGTAGGTCATAGCGAGCGAGCCATCATCATCAGCCTCTCGGCGACCTTCCGACAACATCACTCCACGGACTTGAGAGCGCCAGGGCCGATCAGCATCGACCCCATCGAAGGAAGAGCAGGTGACCAGACGAATGCGTTGAGGACAGGGTGGAGGTTGGGATCTCTGCACCACTTCTGGTCCATATTGCGGCGTCTTCTTTCGGCGACACAGATTCGCGCCGGAATCGCGCAACCATTCACAGTTTGTTGGTTCAAGAGATTACGCCTGCATGATCTTGCGCGTCCTACGTCAGCCTGCATCCGATCCTGTAATTGCTCGTCTCGTCAAGGTAAGTTGGCCACTTTTCGTGAAGGCTTTTGTGACTGACAAGTAACGGCTCCAGCGCGAATTACAAGCAAGACTGCGCCGCGGCCTGAAGACTAGGGTTTGAAGGATCCGGGATGCCAATCTCGTCGTTGGCAAACCTGGTTGTTGGTACCGCGGTCATGGGTAAACTGCTTCAAGCGTGCTCACACCGCTTCAAAGTCTCCATCGGAATCAGGGGCAGCGTCGCAGGTTGCTGCGCCTCTTCCAATGGCGAGGCGTCTTGTCCTACCTCGACCCAGCGACTCGGAATCGATGGGTATGGGACCAGCGGAGCACAGATCCAGGGACACGGAGCAAATCGGCCTTTGGTGGATCGGATCCAAGCAAGGGTGTGGCAATCATCCTACTGGGCATCCATGTCGAAACAATCGAAACGAGTGGTTGGTTTATGTAATTTATGTGGCAGAGAGATGGAGGGCAGGGCAGATGTTTTTACCCGTCGTTGGGAACACCACCCCGCGTCGAAGCATCCGGAGCAGCAAAATGGCGACGGCCGGAACAGCAGAGATCCAGTCCGCTTGGCCACTAGTAGTAGGCCTGCACAGAAGCGCGCTTCACACGGCCGTTTCCGCCAGGGGAACACAGTTTCTGACCGCTACTCTGCCGAAACCCCGGGTTTGGGGACTCTCTCACATCTCCAGAATCAGTGCAACTGCTCCTGCTTCTTTGCGACTTTGCGACTTTGCGATCACCCCTTCGTGATGGCCAAGTCGTCAACCCTGATCCAAGATCGCCCGCATGAACCCCTTGTCACGAGACCGTAGGCTCGGAACAGGAATCCATCGGCTGTTCCACATAGAGAGGGTTCGTCCATTGAAAACTCCCGTAAAAAACCTTAAATCAGGCGGTGAAGAAGTCTATCATCCTTCTCTTGAAGCTTGCCGATGCAACGCTGGCCTTTCCACGTACTAGAATATCCGTAGAAGCATTCCAGACTCCTGGTCCCTGGATGAGTCTAGCGCTATTGAGCTAATTCTCCGAGGGCACGTCCATAGGATCACCAGTTAAACGACCCTGGACGGTGATCTAGGGCTCATTGTGGCTCGATTTGAAGTAATGGCACTAGTTTCAGAGTTTCCAAATTCGTGGTAGAAAAGATCGAAATCCTTTTGCGTGTTGTTCGGGTACATGTAGTCGTGGGTTTCTTTGATGCAAGCGCGGACGGTTGGCTCCCAGACCTCCCCTTCGACGCCAAGCGAGTGCGCAAGTTGCCAGAGCAAATCAATACTCGTTCTTTTACGACCAATCACAAAGAGACTATTCAGAAACAATATTGAACAGTCTTTGCATATGAAAAACGCTGAGTTGAACATCGTTGCTGGGTTCAATCTTCCCACGTAGTGAGATCCGATGCCAAAATCCCATCCCAGACCACCCGTGAAGCCATGTCGAACTACCACAACCCACCCAAATCGCCTCAAAACGATTGGAAATCAATCCATGGATTCAAGAGACATGTTTGCTTCATTTTGGACCCCTTTCACATTCTCAATTGCGACCAACGGCACTTGTTGGCGGTGGCGGACGGGGCCGGGATGCCCTGATCGCAATTGCGATCGAAGATTGCTTCTTAGTCGTAAGCCGCCCCGTTGAGCCATGGATCGACTCCCTCTTCCTCTCTCATTCTGAATTCACCTTCAAGAGTGTTCTCAAGTTGTTCACGACTCTTTGTTGTCTTTTCCCATCATCTAGGATCCGGTATTTGCGCGTTCGTGTGTAGTTCCGGGTTGATGGCTGCTCTCTATGTCTATCTGACTTGAACCGAATGGTGCTCAACAACACGCCAAAGAGGTGAGTTATCCCCAATCGGGTGTAAGCCGAACTATATCCTTGGCCCTGGAACTACGCTATAATCATGGAGAGTTGAACTAACTTTGGCGATTCGGTCGAGGGTAGATCTACAAGATCGCAGGGTCATTTTACTCGGCAGCAACAGCCTTCATATTCACTCGGCTCGGTTGTCAGCAGCGACCCAAAGTACATTGGACCAAGCAACAGACTCACAGAAGCGTGGGTTCGGGAACAGCAAGCCACATTTCCGGCAAACCTCATCAAGCTCTCCGAGCAAGGATTCAAAACCGAGGCCAAGGTCACTGAACATCGTGTTCAGCGCATTTACCAGATAGGAGAAGAGGTCACAGAGAACCTCGCAGCGTTTCAGGAGCCAAGAAAACCACACTTTTGGCCGTCTAGCAATCATGGGCGAGAACAGCAAGCGAGTCCGGCAGCGAAGCCGTGAGTCTGTCACTCACGGCAAGTCCAGCCAGGTCTTGGAGGTCAAGCGACCCAAACTTAGCACCAATGTCCCTGTCGATGTCATCCAACAACCTACTCCCCAGTCACCAATGGGCTGGTCCAGCATGAAGGACTTCCTCATGACGGAGCTCAGGAGGGAGATGGGTTTACCCCTGCACCGTCACCAATCCAAGGACAACGTTGATGAGAAGAGCGTCAACTTGGCCTGCCCTCTTTTCATCAAAAACCCGGCAGCATTCACTCATGTCCGAAACTCCTGTACTGATGGAAACATCAAGGGTGGGATCGGTAAATTGATGTGAGTTTACGACCCCTGTCCAAGTCATGCAGGTATGGCGTTCTGACTTACCCAACCCAGCGAGCACATCAAGCGAGTTCATCTGAGAAGTGACAAGCAGTGCCATCACTGTGGAGCCCGATTCGGCTCAAAGCCAGCGGAGTCCAAGTCATCACACTCGCGCAGCTGCACCAAGGTGTGGTCGCTTCACGAGCCCCCATTGCTCTCCGAGGACCAACAACGGGTTCTGGAGAACATTTCGGTGCGGGCAAGTGGGCAATCGCTCGACTACAAGTATCGCCACAAGCTTCTGATGAAGCTCTACCCCGGCCAGGAAGACTGGGCGAAGAAAGTGGAGATTTGTAAGTTGACTCAAGCGCACTTACAAGTAGTTGACATGACAAGCTAACTGAACGGCACAGACCACGACGCCTATTCTCCCTGTCTTTTGCCTACGCAGCTCATGTTTGATGCGATGGAAAAGGCAGTGGATAGATGGGAAAGGGGGTACGCCACGCACTACGACTCTGACGGAAGCGATGCGGACTCGGAGAGATCTCGCGAGTACCGGAGGCTTTCCGGATCCAGCCCGAGTGCATCATCAACAGATGCCTCGAGCGCATACCCTTCTGCGAGCTCCGGTGGATACAGCCGGACCATTGGAAATGGCCACGGATACAGCTCGCATACTTATCACAACTCTGGCTACCAAGACCAGAACTGGGGCATGGACAACATGTCTCTTGCCACAGACTCTACACAACACGTTACCACATCTGGCGTCACCTCCTCATCACACGACTCTCGGAAAACCCGATCGAATAGTCGACCCGCCGAGGCTAACTACGCGGGCATGCAACTTCCAGCAGACTACCAAACTTACTCTCACTCCGGCACGGTGGACGACTTTGACAGCCTCGACGCCTCAGGCTTTGAAGTCTTTGAGCCCGTCTTTGACGTCGTATCAACTGTGCCATCCGACTACCACTCTTACACCATGGACACTGACCAGGTCCTCCCCTTTGACTACCCTACTCAAGGTCACTACTCAAAAGACACAATTAATCCCAAGGATATACACAACACTTTGATCGGAATGGGATCGGCGACGATGCCGAGGTATGTCATGGATAATGAGGAGGAATCTGGTATTATACTACAAGATACTCAAGAATATTTGGGGTTTGCAGGTCAAGCCAGGAGGTCTCATAGATAGGCGGGGCTTGGACTACACTTACGACGCTTACGACGGAATGATGCATAATGTCACGGGGCTGACTGGGTTGGGCGCAAGGGCTAAATGGGGCCGTATTTTACTTTGTATGAGCGGCAAACTAGTATCTTGCTATAGCAATCTCTACATCTTTAATTTTCAACTCCTGTTCGAGTTCTACGCCTTCGCTCGTCTTTCACGTGACTGTTCTGACGCTTGTCTAAGCTTCATCTGAGGATAGATATATGTGTTTTGAGTCCTGAGTCCGTCACCTGAAATCAGAGGTGCCAAGCCAGAAGCATGAATGATGAGATGAGGAAAGGTATTTTGATATCCAGTTCAAGTTTCCCAGCTCCTGATCCTGGATTAGCCGTCGTCGAGGTAGTCGAAGTCGGCGAAGACCCCCCGGTCGTGCCGCTAGGAGAGTTGCCAGTGCTTCCGCCACTTTTAGCAGCCTCAACGATCGGTGCCTTGGCATCCTTGATGAGCAGATTCGAGACTGCAGCCAGAACGCTTAACCCTTCACCAATACCCGTAGTGTGATCAGCCGTCATAGGGTCGACAAATCTGCCACTGGTCCAATAGAAGCCGCAGCGATTGTTGATCTCCGAATTCCCGGGCTCACACTGCTTGATCGCAGCTTCAGCGGAAGTTTTCAAGACCGGAAGCCATGTGTCTGCCAAGAAAGGGGCGAGTTGAGTGGCCGAGGAGAGCCACCGGTGCACAAATCCTTTGTAGAAAAGGGCGTCAGTGGGACAGCGACCCTCAGCTGGTTCGCAAGCCGATTCGAAAATGACACCGTCAGGGAAAAAGTCTTTCAACAGAGTGTCAGAGAGTCCCGCGGCACGGTCACGCCAGATTTCGGAGCCGTTTGTCTACACCGATATTAGTCATATTCTCTGAGCCTCGAGACTTATGCTCGGATAGGAAGACCTGCGTTGTTATACATGAACGCTGCGCCCTGAATGAGCATGGCTGGTGTGTAAGACCATTGAGCTTTGCCGATTTGGGTGCAGTTGTTCTCTGCCAGTGCCCCGTCGTAGACCTTCCAGTTACTAGTGTCAACGAAACCGACTCCAGTGAGCCAGTCCCATCTCTTATCAGAGTAGTCAGAGTAAGTTGTGTTGCCAGTGAACCGAGCAAGCCGGGCTCCAAGGTTGAAGAAACACGCGTTGGATGCCGCTATGTAAGGTTAGCTTTGACTACACTTAGTCTTATCAACAGAAGCACCGTAACTTACTATGCTTCCATTCATATCCATTATTGGACAATGGAATCTGCCAGCGAAGGCCACCATTGCAGGTCTCATCATAGCGATCAGGCGATGCTTGAGTCGTCCACACATTCTTCGCAAGGTCGATCCATCTCGCTTTCCCATCCACCTCGGGGAACCCATACTCGGCAGCCATAAGAGCAGCCGTACCCCAGAAACATTGATCCTCATTTCCAAGACTAGCTGTCTGATTAGGGGGCATATAATCGTTTTCGGGTCCAACCTGGAACTGTAGTGCCTTGCTGACTGTAGCCGCGTAGCCGTCGTCTCCTGTCAAATGCCAGTAGTCGAGATAGGTGGCGAAGAAGCTGCCACTCAAGTACCACCAGTATTTGTTAACATCCTCAGACGACCACGGAAGTATACCCGGAGTCTGTCCAGGCTTGTCGCCTTGATAGAACGTCATAAGGTCCTTAGCAAGAGATCGTGATGATTCTTTGATGCGGTCTGCGCTGCTGATATCAAGTTCCGCGACGACATTGGGGAGGTTGCCCAGTAGCAGGAGAGCCCCTGAGAGGGTTGAAACGAGTGGAGATGGCATGATGCAATTGTGAATAGAGAGTGTTGATATGGCGAGCTCAAATTGGCACTTCCACGCAGTGATCGAGGCCAGGTGAATGATTAACGAGTGTCGATAAGTGAGTCAGAAAAGCGCGTTCAAGGTCACAGAGAACAACGTCAAACTCTCTGTGGGCTACTTGGGTATTTGACGTTTCCCCGCCTCGTACGACGTAGTCCGGCTTATAAAGACAACGACGTCAGTGAGGACATCTCTCGACGAAAAGAATCGAAGTTGTGTACATGAAAGGGAGAAAGCGGATTTCGAAATATTCTTGCGGAGTTCCATACATCGCTTACATTCGAGTCGGGGGTTGTTTACCCCTGCTGTGCCGTATCGGCTAGCCGCCTTCGATCGAATTCCTCTTGGCATCACCAGCACTAGGCCTATTACGTCAAGAAGTAAGCTGTTGCCTTGCTCGTATTTACTCTGGCGATTACTGATGACCATAGCAACTCCGACTCAAATACAGTCTCTGCCCAGAAGTTGAAGTTGCCGTAACTCCGATGCTATGCTAGATGCCGTTCGCTAACCTCATGTCTGCTTCTATCATCAATTATTCAGTTGGCTCTTTGCCTTCAACTCGCGACTCTGCATCCTCAGATGCCTTCTCTTCCCCTATCACGTCAGCTGGAAGCCTCTGGGGTTGGTCGCTAGCGGCTTTGGTCTTCGTTCCCACGGCCCCTTTGGCCTTCTTAATTTCCTTTGCGCCAGCTTTCTCATTGGCTCCTTCACTGTCGGACTCCGAAGCCAGTGCCTTAAGCGCCTTCATCTTGAGGGCTTTCTTCTTCCTCGCCTTCCGCTCGCTTGCCGCTTTCTTCCGTCGCTGAGCTTCATCCATCGCGGCTTTCTCTTCTACAACCCATGCAGCAATGCTCCTGACGGCCTGTTCCGGTGCATTTCGATGGTTGAGCAAGAATCCCTGCAATTGTGCCGGGGTGAATATGTCGTCTGGGACTTGAGAACTGAATCCTTCTGCCAATTTGTCGAATTCTGAGGTTTGCTTCTTCAGAGCCTCGTCGTCTTTGTCCGCTAAGAGAGTCTCGGTTGACAGGTGCGGTCGATACATGCGCTCAAACATGCCCTTGGCGCTTCCCTTTGAAATGTTCCCTAGAAATATCATTCTATCGATACGACCTGGTCTTACGAGCGCTCTATCAAGTTTGTGAGCCACATTGGACGTCATCAAGACGATGCGGCCTTCTTGGGACGCAACTCCATCCAAGACGTTCAAAAGACCTGATAAAGTACAACGACATCGCCCGAAAGACCTTGCGCTACTAGCGCTGCTGTCACTGTCTTCCGATGAGGAATCATCCGGCTCGAACTTCTTGCGATGCTGAATTCCAATCGCGTCAATGTCCTCCAGCAAGACGATGCATTTCGGCGGCAGCGCGGTGAATAGGTTCTCCAAGTCGTTATCATCTCTGATGCTAGGAATATGGAGTAGATAGAGCTCAAGGTTGAAGTAGCTTGCTAGGGCAAGAGAAAGAGACGTCTTGCCTGTACCGGGTGGGCCGTAGAAGAGATAGCCTCTCCGGTACGGTATCCCTCTTTCCGTGTAAAACTTCCTGGTTTTTTGGTTGAGATACGTTTCGATGTCATTGACAAGCTCTGTCTTCGTCTTCTCGTCAAAGTGTACGGTCTCTAGTGGCCGTATCGGTCGAAGGATAGTGGTGTCCCAACTCTCTTGATTATACTGATTTTTTGTTGCTCTCACCGTGATAAAAGCTTCACGCTGCTTGTCCGCAAAGAGCCGACAGTTGTTGAGGAAGTCTTTGACGGGCTGGACAGCGCGCCCCAAGCGCATCACGACGAGCGGCTCATCGCCCTCCGGGGCGGCAGAGTATTCATCCGGAACACCGGTGTACGCAGAGCCGACGCGTACGTTAGACACTCTTCGGACCATGAAGAACCCTCCCTCAAAGATAAACCAGGTTGTACCAAAGGTTGGCAAATATTGCACTGGTACCCTCTTTTCGTGATGGAGGTCGTCTCGCTCGATAGGCTTCCGATAATACCACGCCTCATTCTGGATCACCTCAGTTCGGGCTGTTAGGACACGAGTGCCTTGCCGGGTGAGAACGTGCGCTCCTAGCCAGTTGAGAACCTCTCTGTTGAGTTTGTCGTTACTCCCTATCGAGATGGAAGCCGTGAAGAAGCGGGTAATCCACCAGTAGATCTGAGTTCCCAGCTTTTGAATGCCCGTCAAAGCCCTTGGCAATTCTCCTCCCAAGGTTATTAGGAGGATGATTGTGGTGATGTCGAGTTTAAGCCAAGTTGTAAAGAATTTGAATCCTGGTGCAGTACGTTCCAAAAAGTCGTTGAGTCCTTGGTATAACTTTTGAGACGTTGCATCAGTGGCGCCAGTAGCGCTGGTAAGAAGCGAGGCTTTGGTAAGCCTAAAGAGTTCACTCATGATCGCTTTCACAACGTAATTGAGCTGTAAAAGTCTGGTGAAGAAAACAAACTGAGGGCCAGCCTTGACTTTAAGAGTCTTTTGCGATGTTTCGCGAGGCAAGGTACTTTATGAAGCTGCGTGAAGCTTCAGGCAGAAACGAGGCTGCCTGGATCGTCTCACCGATGTCCGCTTACCCTGGAACTCAACTGAAATCGGTATGCGGCGCTAGCCCAATGGATCCAAGAATCAGCGTGACGCATGACGGGATGTGGCATAGTCCAATTCGCTGAATCTAGATCGAAGGCTGACGCCGCTTGTTGGAGCCAATCGTTGGATGGAAGCGCCTTAATCTGTGACACAGTGAGACAGTCAGGCTTTGCTGCGGCTTTCCTCACAAGATCGTGCATATGCACTCATGGTTGTGTTCATATCGAAACACACCGTTCCCAACAGATTGGTAAAATGAAGCACTCTCATCGTTGAGAACAATATTAAACCAGGTTTTTTCTGTCAAATAAGTTGTGACATTGGCGATAAATTTACGTGAATGAACTGAGTTGATTTCGTCTTTGAGAGGACCTATGAAACGAAGCCCTCTTGACAAGTTGACAAAGTCGGTAATAACTTTGAACTTTCACTTGCTTACTCTCTCACGCGAGTAGGACTTCTAGCTGTTTCTTGGTTAAGATGCGACGACTTACTTTGACGTGGTCCCTCGTCAAACATTGCCGTCTCTTTTAGATTTAGTCATGGATATTATTAACCGTCTCATGACTTTCAGACTTGCGGCCTCACTCTTGAATCTGAGGCATATGAATGAGTCAGTGCCTGTGCTTCTTCGCTCATTGTGAACAACTCCGTTGTTGTTCTACATTCGTGAGCCATGTTTGAGTCCAGATGTGCTTCAGGTCATCTGCATCATGTCTCATAAGCCTCGAGCATTAGTTTGGCACTCACGGTGCTCAGTAGGTGTTGGTAGGTTCCTTAAATAGGTAGTACAGATGCTTGAGGTCTCCGTGAAGGCTTTTATATGTGGTCAGGAAACTTGGTTTCGCGGCTTAGACGTTAAGCCAATGAAGGCCGTGTGTGTGCCAGACTAAAACTAAAGCAAGATCTACGGCGACTTGACGTCTCCGCCCGCCCGCCTTTCTGCTAAGCAGGAAATGGAACAGTCTCACTCCGCCTTGCGGAGTAAGTTTATTGGTCATTGTCTACGAGAATCCTCTCCCGAATGACCACTTCGTTGGGTAATATCTAACCATTTTGAGGATGGCCTGCATCACACTCAGCCCTATTTCTTCCCAAATGGCCTCGTCAGCACCAATGCCACTTAATCGCAGTAGGGCGGACCGAATGCGGACGCTTCGAAGATGTCAGCCTTCAATGGACCTGCTCAGCTATGCGTTCTTGTTACAGCCGCATGAACCGTTTGGGATCAAGACCGCATGAAGGCGGCAAAACCCAGCCAGCCCTCTTTAACACGAGAGGCGGACGATGCTGACCACTTCTGGACCTTGCTCATGACTTTAAAAACAATCCTCACTATTCACAAGTAAACCAGCAGTGACAATATCCACGGCGAATTATTTCTTTGTCTTGATGACGACCGATGATGCGCGCAGGTTGTTTCCGACGTATCAGCAGCCTAATGGCATTTGCTGCCTCGCTGAGTACTCTCCCCCTCATGAAAATGTTCCGATGGGCCGATTATACGGCCCCTATCAGAAATAATGCTCCCAAAGTCCCAGATTTTGCGAGAGCGGGTAGCGCAACGTGAGCTAGCTGGGTAAGTTCGTGAAGAGCCATTATGTACAGGCGACCTAGGTAGCAGGTAGCGGCGATGTCAGCTTTCGGGGAGTGGTGGATTGAACAGCTTTTGCCCAACGTCACCCCAACAGAGACTGACCCAGGTCATTGATCGTCGAGCAACCCCTCCACCAATACCCTGCTTCCGAAGACCCTCTCGTTTTACACGTGGGCTGAGGGTCAAACATTCCAAACAAAGCATGCAAAATGACACAAGGGTCGCCTACTACGACGCTGTTGTCAGAAATCGGTGCAGAAATCAACTTGGCAAGGGAATCATCGGAAGTGACCCCAGTCAAGGACACCTGAAGAGAAAAGTCGCCGGCATAGTCGTCCGGGAACAGTATCCTTGAGGTCCCCTCTTGACGTGCGCACGCACCTCTTGACAAGACCCCTATCAATCTGAATTCGGCCCATTACTGGACAATGCGACCTCGTTGGGGAGTGCCGCTGAAGAATGCTCCGCATTGAGTGCGACGCAATGAAGCTCATGAGTCGCCCGACCCGCACGCAACTCCGTAGCTCTCGCGAGAGATGTGGCAGTTGCCGTACGTTAGTGGGCTCTTTCCAGGGTTTCCCGAGTTCCGGATTGGGTTTCCAGGGAGCTAGAGGCGTGCTAAAGGCGCGTCTTTCAGGGATATCACCGGGGCCGTAAAGTTGCCGTTTTACAAAGGTGAGGGGAAAGGATGGATTGCGGTGAGGCGAGGGGCAGACGCGAGTTGAGCGCCGGCTCCCATGATCAGATATCACTCATATTTAATAGCATGGCAGCGTCTTCCTTCTGCCAGTCAATGATTCAAGCTTTTGACTTTTCTGGAATTCCCCTGCCGAGCTCACCATCCTCGCTTAACTCTTCAACACAACCCACACACTACCAACCATGTCTACCACCAAGCCCACTTTCGTCCTCGCACCTGGTGCCTGGCACAAGGAGACCTGCTACTCGCCTGCTCAGCAACTCCTCGAGTCTCGCGGCTACCCCGTTGAGGCCGTTGAGTACCCCTCTGTCGGCGCTGAGCCCCCTACCAAGGGCCTCACAGACGATGCCAATGCCGTCAGAGCTGTCCTCCAGAGACTCGCTGACGAGGGCAAGGAGATCGTTCTCGTTGTGCACTCCTACGGTGGTCTTGTCGGAGCCAATGCCGTCGAGGGTCTTGGCTACAAGCAGCGCATCAAAGAGGGTAAGAAGGGTGGTGTCATTACTTTCGTCTACCTTACCGCCTTCGTTGTGCCCAAGGGCAAGTGCATCAGAGAGATGCTTGGCGGCCAGTTCCTCCCGTGGATGAAGTTTGAGGTAAGATGAAGCTGAACGATTTCGCCATTCCGATATTCACACTGTCACAGGGCAACTACGTCTACGCCCAGACCCCCGAGGAGATTTTCTACCACGATGTTGAGCCTGAGACTCGCGCCAAGGCTATCGAGCAGCTGCAGCACCAGTCTGCCCAGGTCTTCGACGATGTTGTGACCTACGAGCCGTGGCACGAGATTGACTCCATGTTCTTTTTCTGCGACGAGGACAAGGCAATCCCCCTCGCCGTCCAGCAGGGTATGGCCACTCTTCTCGGCCCTACGGCCATCACCTACTCTTCTAAGGCCTCCCACTCCCCCTTCCTGTCCCAGCCGAACGACGTCGCTGAGGGGTTGGAGCTTGCTGCCAAGGTTGGACAGGAGAGGGTCAGAGCTTAGAGTTCAATAGATTTCACCATTCATGTAGAGAGCTCGGCGCATTAGATATCCTGTAAAATTTACGATTCATGACCACATCCTCCATTGTTACCGGTGACACTGGTGACCATGAAGGATCTTCTGACTCAGTGTGAATGTCAAGTATGAGCCGAAAGAATGATCACATAAAACTCATAGCGCCGCAATCTCAGTGTTGAGTCTCTCGTAGTTTGTGTTGTATAGTAGAACCGTTCGACCCGGGACGGCTCATAATGCAAGCTCAGATAACCAGACTGGAGTTCCCCATCTTAATTTTAAATCCCATGTAACTTCGAACGCGGATGAGGGACACTCCTCGGCGAATACAGCAGGCCAGGGAGGCCGCCTTGACTCATGTCGGGCTCTGGTGACCAGGTGTTTATAGTTTGGTGTCAGTCAAACCGCTGGCACTCGCTTCGGGCCGTCCCAAGCAGCAGGGTCCCACTTCTGCCCATATCGTCATGTAAGACATGAGAAGCTTAGATGAACACCCACGTTTCCTGCGTCCGAGCGTGCTGCAATGGTACCTTGCCTCGCGAGAATCGGCGGGATCACTGTGTAGGAGCCAGACTAGGAGCTGAGTAACAACCCCCTGTGTCTCATGGGTTCTGCCTATTTTTTTTTGGGGATGGCTATCCGGAGGAGTTCCTGAGCCAGCCTTAAGTGCGCTATACAAGCATGGATGCACAAGAATGGTTTCCAATTTATCCAACTTGTACGAATTCCACCTCATGAGTAAAAGGACATATGCGTAGTGAAGAGTATTGTGTACTGAGCCCCTTCGTAGTAGCCGTTTGTGGCTGTTGCCGCCACCTGTAAGCCTGTGCACTTAATCCAGTTCCACGAATGACGTGAGATTCCTCTCCAAGAAGGCGGGGAATAGGCAGGCCAGGCTGATTTTGACGAGGGTTGCATCCCAAGTTTCATCCTCCACAGGACTTCGTACAAATTACGGAAGGGAGCCACAACCCGCTGCTTTTCTTCAAATCTTTCCAGTGACAACCGAATATGAGCTCTCACCAGGGCCCGAAAGAGGCCGGCCTCTACAACCCTCTCAAGACCAACCAAGTTCGGCTTCTGCGGCTGAATCCAGACCCCGACTCAGATGAAGTGGGAAATTTAGAAGTAGTGGAACTGCGCGAGGCTCCTCCATATTACGCCCTCAGTCACAGCTGGACGAGCCAGCACAGCTACCGGGACGTCCTCATAAACAGCCAAGTCGTCACGCTCGGAGCTGATCTCGCCGCCTGCGTTCACAGGCTCTCGCAATTGGCAGGAAGCAACTCCGAGCTCGACCCTCCCGTTCGTCACATCTGGATCGACAGCATCTGCATCGATCAGTCAAATCTCGATGAGCGCGCGGCTCAAGTCTCCCTCATGGGTCAGCTGTACCGCAGCGCCATCAGAACACTTATCTGGCTCGGTCCCGACTCCAGCGACTGCTACGGCGCGTGGGAGCTGCTGGACAGCATACACCACATCTTCAGGCAACAGAATCCCAGAGCCACGGAGCCGAATGACATACCCACCCGCATGTACCGACCCTCTGCACACGAAGCCTCCGGCCTGCCGCCATGGGAAGACTTTCGGTGGTCGCATCTTAAGAACCTCGTAAGGAGGCGGTGGTTTTCTAGGATCTGGGTCGTTCAGGAGGTCGCCCTGTCGACGCAGGATCCAATCTTCCTCCACGGGGAGCAGTATTTCCCCTGGAGTCACTTTGGCTGGGCGGCGGCTTGGCTGCGCAAAAATGGCTACATGCGACTGTCTCAAGTGCCCGAACAGCTGCGTAATATCGACACCATGGCTAATCTCCAGCGAGCGCAGACGCTGTGGCCCCTTGATGCGCTCGTCTCAATCACGCAGGTCAAGTTCAACGCCACCGACCAGAGGGACAAGATCTATGGACTCATGGGTCTTGCTTGCGAATGTCAGGATCTGGCTACTATGCCTCTCGAGCTGAGACCAGACTATCAGATTGACGTGACGGATGTATACCTGAGGGTTGGGCGATACATGCTGCAACAGAGCCGCTCGCTTGCGTTCTTGACCCGAGCACGTTGTGTCGATGGCAGTATCACCAGAAGACAGCGGGAGGAGAGTCTAGATATACCCTCGTGGTGCCCGGACTGGAGCGATTTCAAGAATCCCAACGAGGGCATCGCTACAAGTCTCTCGTGGGTTCATGCCGGAGACAAGTCTAGGCCAGCCAGACTCGGCTTTCTCGAACAATTCTCTGCAGCGTCTGGGCTTGAACTTGAGATCCGTCATGAAGGCGATCCGCGAGTACTCTCACTCGTGGGTATCAGGGTGACCACAGTCGAGGTCGCTTTGCCGTTTGGTGTGAATCCTTCTCGCAAGGTTGAACCCGAGCAGCCTTTTACAGAGCAGATGACGCGCATCTTGTCAGAGGCGCTGAAGACACTCAATCGGGAGACCATATCTGCCTGGATGAGACAGTTTGTTAGCGCAACTACAGTCGAGCAGCATTCCTTTGTCGGCCGGGACTGGGAACAGTCTGTCGCGGACGGCGCAGCCTATGTCCATCATCTTCTGCTAAATGACATATCACTTTCGTCCTTGTGCGTAGAGCAGAGCGGGGATCCGAATGCTCTTTCCGTACTCCAGGACTTATCATCCGGTGGAGCTGCAGACTACTACAAGAGCCTGGTTCACAACTATGGTTTCGATAGGGCCTTCTTGGTTACGGCAGACGGGAGAATGGGCATTGGTCCATCAAATATTCGGCAGGGAGATGCTGTTGTCGTGCTTGCAGGCGGCGATGTGCCGTACTGTGTGCGTAAGGAGGGAGACTGCTGGCTTTTGGTGGGTGAGTCGTGTGTGCAGGGTTTGATGAAGGGGGAGGCCGTAAACGCAGTAAATCACGGGTTGTTGATGAAGGACAGAATGCGTTTTAGGTAGTTCAACGGACAGATAACGTACTTCGTGAGCGAGCGTCGCATTTTTATCTTCTCCGCCTATCTTTTCCCTTCCACAATCAAGTCTTCACGACTAATGGAAGTGTCTCACAATCGAATATCAACTCAAGGGTCCTTCTTGCTCTTTAGGCCGTTCAAAACAACCCAAAACTAAGTGGTCGATACCTGGATGAACACATTTATTGACAAGCCTACCTTAAATGGAGCCGCCGGCTGAAGATAGAGAAATTCCTACTTTGATACGAGAGTACTACAGTCGAAATCCCTGTGATGCTATTGCCTAGCCGTTTCAGATGGCCAGACCGCCGCCAACATGTGTCTTCTAGGAGACGAGTGGGTGACAACATTCGATTGCTAGTCTACAAGTGCTCTACCTAGCTCTCCTATTATCATTCTTATTCCTATTCTTCTTTAAATAGCATTCACGAAGGAATATACATAAGATGAAAGTAGTAGAAATGAGAAGGGGCAAAGAAATAAGACTTGTAATAGAAATGATAAAGATAACAAAAATAAGAATAAAAAAGTAATACAAAAAATAATAAGCAGCAGGTACTTGAGCATTACACAATCTTTTGTTGGCCAGCATCCTACCTTATGTTGTCACCTACTTGTCAGGATATATACTTGAGGCAGTGGGGGACTCACACTGAGGCGAGCTTGAGTTAGGGCGGCAGAGACGATAACTCGATTTGGCTGGAAAGCCCCGCGTAATCAGTGAGACAACCGCCAGACGTCTTTTCCCCTGTCGATGAGCTGTCATCCCTTGGTGGGTTTGCAGAGGTATGGGTGGAACAATCTAGACTGGGTCGACAGGCTTCATCAAGCGCGAAAGATCCCGAATTGGTCTCCTTGCTACTTGGCGTCCTACATAATGTATACACGTACAATACCCATGGCACTTCACCTTGAGGTCTACTACTACGACACAGGCGCTGGCACAATAGTCCGGTCCTTTGGTCTCAATGGCTAAATACTTGGTTACAGGACCGATTTGGGTGCGTCCCAATATTTAGGTTCGGGAAAGGAAACAACTGAATCCTCCATCTTCATGCCAATTTGCCACCTTCCAAGCATAGGCCAGAAGTTCTCGTGTTCCCCGATAATGTGTCCCTTTTCATCAGCTTGTCGGATATCGAACCAACCTAGACTCGTCTTCTTTGAGCTTTGACCTGGCGCAATGCTGCACCAGCGATCGGTCCCTGGTAATTCCCCCTGACTTCCACTTCCCTGGGGCAATGGGGGCTGAACAAGAGTTGCATCCACACCAACGTACTTCAAAATGTCAAGAGAGAGGGGGAACGACGGCACATATGGGATAGGCTTGAATGTGGCTTGGAAGAGAGGTGTGGTGCTTGCCGCGGTTTCTTCGATGTCACCGGATGTGTCGTGAGGGAAGACTCTCACAGAAGTGCTACCGTCGGAGTTTGTTTTCCAGTCGAAGGCTGCTAGATGTTTAGGAATGTTCCAATCTTCCTCCTTTGTGAGCAACTAGCGTAGCGTTGTGGTGAATGACAAAGGAAACTCACTCTTTCGCCCATTCCAGCATGTGTACTTCTGCGAAACGTAGATCCTGGTGATTCTTGCATTCTTCTTTTTGATGCGTTTGCCGTTCTCCTCAATCGTATACTCGTGAAATCCCGGACTCAAGATCAGTTCATCATAGGGACCGACTGGACTTTCAGTGTAACGAATGATCTGGATCATGCTGATCCCTCCAAGGGGACGGCTACCATCTGGGCAAATAAATGAAGAGTTCGCTTCGAGTGGAGAGTACGTGATCGTTGGAGGATGCTCTGCCTGCTTTCTGGGCACCCAGAAGCTGAAGAAGTAGACGTCGCCCTTGAGCTTCCATGGTGCAGGGACAGGGGTGATTTCGCTTAACGTCATGACGACACGATCTCCTTCTTATCGATGTTTCGGGGGCTATGTGTAAGCCAACAATGACAAATCCCCAGAGATACTGCTGCTTGAGTAGAGAGAAATGGAGAGACTGGATTTAATGGAAAGAATATCTGGCGTGGTCGGGAACATCTATGAAGAGAAAGGTCAGATCTGGAAAAGACTGGAGTCAAGGCGAGAAGCTTGCCGGCGCATGAACGGACCTCGAGTATTTGTGGGGAGTGGAATGCCCCAGCAACACTTTATGTTCCCAGCCCCTGGCCTACCTAGGACAGTCGTGGCCTGTTGCATCCACCTATTCATTGTTGAGACTAGACTATTCGTAGTGTAGTCGAATCCATTCTTGCGGGGTTAAGCTCCGGGCCGCAATCACAAGGGGCCTCGGTGCTTGGCATTGCACCGACGATTGAATTGCCTTCTTCGGAAGAGGCAAGGGGCCATCTGATAATTTCTGGTATGCCAGTAGCGGACTAGGACACCTCGCTGATTCTTCGAAGCGCGCTTTTCTTCGCTATCATCTTCTTTGTTGTTATGTTTCTGAATTGGGGTCTCCCTTATCTACCTCACATTGGACCTCCTGTAGCCACCGAAACAACTGCGTCCTCTTCATTCCTGTAAACCACGTGTGCTTTGGAGCGTTCCGCTAGTGAAGCGAACCTTATGGTTTGTTCAAAACCTAGCCCTCCACCATGGACAATGAGGGGACTTAGGAATCACTTATAATACGTGATCAAATCAGACAAATTGGTGACATTGTCTCTTCAGGAGAGGCGCCCTCGCCTTCCATGAAGTCTTGCAAGTAACTACCATTCAACACTGTTAGTAAGTAGTCAGACAGTTGGGATTCTCATAAAAGATTAGGGGAGCACTCGCCATTCACCAACCAGACTGTAAGTGCGTCTCGAATCTTCATCGCTCTTTGACCTTTCTCCCGCCTTCTCCCGCAAGCAGAAGAGGACACGGCTACCAGCAAAAATGCCAACGACATCGCCGGCCTTTGCCGGGTTGTCAGCCAGCCCCATGCGGCCCTTCTCAGAAATGAAGAAGACTCTTCCAGCTAATGCGCTGTATAAAGCGTCATTATAGGCTTTCGCAGCTCCATGCATTCCCGATGACTCTTGGTCAGTCATCAAAACATACCAGGCGTCCCAGAACTTGTCAGCTTCACCTTGACCGAGAACCGTCGCCTCGTGACGCGGCCCTCTTATCCTGACGCGGGATCCCACCAAAGTTCTTCGAAACGAGTCGACCAACGAAGTAGCCCCCTGACTTCCACTCGGAAGTAAAGACGCCCGTTCTAGGACCTGGGCTTGGATTGTCATAATCTGATCAAAGACCAACCCCGGTTTCCTGAACATCTTTGGCTCAAAAGACACCGCCCACTCAATATTATCCAGGACCTTACCTTGCAACAGTAGCTCATCTCCTTCGAATTTGGCAGAAGGCTTGCTTCCGTTACCCCCAGCTGCATAGTCGTTCTGCCATAGGAGAATCCTTTGGCCTCGTTGCACGGTCCAATCAGGACACCAAGTCGGCAAGTCGGGCATGCAACTTTTTGTCCTGTTGTGATGGCAGAGAACCTCGAGAGTTCCCGACGAGCCGACGGAAGCTTTGACTACATCTATGAAGAGATCTTTGACAGGGCGGTTGTAGTCCGGTTGTAGCATCGAGACCTCTCCGATTAGATGGAACAAGCTGTATACCTTGTCTCTAGGGTCGGAAGCTTTGAAACTCCGAAACCTGTAGAGAAGGCTGAGCGGGTCTCGTTTGGGGGCGCCTTTCGACCTTGACGCCTCCGAATGACTATCTTGGTAGTCTTTGCGCGCCGTCATCAGATGACTTATCGGTGTCGATGCGATCTCCCTCATAAAGTATTCCTGTCCGCGCGGTAGAGCTGCATTGAATCTGACATCTACCAGGGTCCGCAGTGCTTCTGAAAAGGATTCACCGGACCACTCTAGGTCACCACAGACAAAAGCAACCTCAGTCGCAACTGCGAACTCTTGGATGACCCAGGATCTGCTCCACCATGGACTGCTCATTAACCTTTGTAGAGCCTTTTTCGTGGGCTGAGCATCTTTGGCGAATAATAAAGACGTGACGCGCCGATGGCCAAGCCGGTTACCCTCTCTCGCCAAAGCCTGTATCAGGTCAACGGCGTGATGAGTATCAGTCGTACCCTCGCCTAGGAAAACAATGACCTTCGAAGCGTATCTGTACACTGACCACATCCTCTTGACCTGCAGATTGACTTCGGGGCGATCATGTTGATTGATGCATACTGCATCTATCCATAACAAGCGATCTTCTTTTGCCAACCGCAGGCGACGTAAAGCCGTTTCGAGGTTTTTGGTGATCTTGAATGGTTGTCCTTCCAGAATAATCTCGACTTTCTTCGTGGTGTCGCCCCATGCGTATGACAACGCCTCATACTTGTGCTGGATCTGTCCCAATACAGATGGCTTCAATTTGCAACTGATCGGCTGAGATCCATAGCCTGCGAGCAATTGAACGCATCGGAGAGCGTAAGCGAACTCTTGTGGTTCGGATCTTTCAGGTTCAGCATCCTTCAACGTCGAGAAGAGAGCCATCGCCAGGCTACTGCTGTCGGCAGACGAGGACACTAGACTAGAAAACTTGGCGCCAAGTACATGCAAAATGACAGCAACGTAGCGATCACTTCCGATTCATGAAGCGCTGTAGACCTGTCTCGCTTGGTTGCTGTGCGATGTTGAAGAGAGAAAAGTAAGGGAGGGGAAAGCGGTGTCGGGTACTGCTCAGGACTTAGCGTCTCTTCCCAATTGGCTCGCTGGAGTTAAATGATCAGTGTCGCTAGGCTCATTAGTCCTTGGTGCCACCTAACCGATCAGCTCACAAATCAATTGTAATTGGAGCAGTACAGCATTTATTAGCGACGTGGATATGAGAAGGAATTCAGATTGCCTAAGTTGACGACAGGACCTCCTGGTTTCCAGAACGTGACTTCGGCCCCTAAATAGGATGTCGAACGTCTCGACATTGCACCACGAGAGGGGAATCGCGGTAACGGAGCAGTAGTAATAGGTCGAGGTGGCATCGAGATCAACAATGTAATGATGAGAAACAAACGGACACGCAGTATCACCTTGAAACCATCAAAGCATGCCAAGAGCGGGTGATCCCATTGTGAGATCTTCAAGACTCACTCAGGTACTCACTGTTGGCGGATACACGTTAAGGAGTTGCTAGGAAAATGCCGTGTTATCCCATCAACTACTAGAAGCCGTCAGTATATCCGTCACTAGTCTTTCTCCAGCTTTCGCTTAATTCTGAACCTTCCAGAGACTAAAACATTGGAAGTAAGGTTGACTGTCATTATAATTCATTATCACTTTATAGGAAAACCCGTCCACATACGTTGACGCCATCTGGCTGTTACTGGGATATTCAGTTCTGGCTTGACGCAAATATCGAGTAGGTCTCATCATCGTCCCCTTGTTTGTAATCAATCAGAAGGCATGGAGAGCGTCTCAGATTCACTCCGAACCCTCCGAGGCCGCAGACGCACCACACGCGCGTCAGTACTTACATTCATGTCCAGAACAGCTATCACTAGGTTGTTACTAGGGCTATTCGTCTCCTCCATAGCGATAACGAGGAGTTGCCAGATGGACCCTGCACTTTGTTCATAACTTCATCGACCGCGTCATGATCTGGCTTCTTTTATTAGGTCAACCCACAGTCGATTCGGGCTCGGCCACGAATTTCCAAGTTTATCCGCAAGCCAAGGCACTGCGGATTCCGAAACATGACCTGAACGGCTAAACCGGCATGTATTGGTCAAGATGCGCGCGGTACACAGCCTCTTATTACCACTCAGCCAATATCCATGCTTTACATAAAGTCGCAGGATCCTGAAGGAGGGGCGACGGAGCCTGGACTCTTCGTCCACGAGTCATAAACTCGTAGGGCTGCCACGCCTCTGGAGTTATCAGTCCAAACATTGTTAAAGTTTATCTCCGTATGGCTTAAATTATCGGCATCGTGTAAGCGACTTGCACCATCGCTAAGAATAACCGCACCAGCAGCTCTCAGTCAGCCCAGGCACGTGGGGGAGCTTTCTCGCGATCATGCTCATTAACATGGCGCAAAGTTCTCCTGACAGTAAATTGATTGACTGAACTTTACGCCAAGACGGGAAAGTTGAGATGACAGCTAGGGCCTCAGTTCGTCGGCCGCCAGCAGAAGCCTTGGTGACCCGTCTTAGACGGTAAGAATTCTATATATTCTAGTACCAAAAGATGATTCGTTCCATATCGATTGCATCTGTCCACCGCTCACAATCCTTTGAGACTCATTCAATCTTTACCTTCGCTCTTTGAGCACAGTCATTCTTTACCTACCCCTTCGTTCATATGCATCTCAACGGCCTACTCCGCGGGCTCACCCTGCTGTTACTCAGCAGCGGGGCTGTCTCTCTCCCGCACCAGGATAGCCGGAACGATCTGATGCACAGCAGACGCCACCTGATGGCGAGGCAAGCTCCCGTCTCAAACACCACAAGACCAGCTAGCACCAGGGCCTCCTCCACACAACCCCTAATCACTCCCGACCCTAGAACATCCACACGCGTATCATCCACATGGACAACCATCGGGACGTCAAGCTCAGCACCGACAACTCAGACAATCTCTGGTGGAGAGGTCGTCGTAGCAGTTATCGGAGCAACCTACGTAGCTGGCGCTGGCGGCGGATCTCTCGTGGTTGCAGGTGTCACCCACGCGCTAGCTCCCGGAGCTGTTGTGTCAATCATCGGTACCGGAGCGAACGGTGATACTCCTGAGATTGAAAACATCTCGAATCCGGCCCCATCACAAAATCCGCAAACCTCGGATCCGGCAGAATCCAAGCCTCCTTCTTCTGCTCCGTCTGTTCCCAGCTCTACCTCCGCAGCACCTACTTCAACATCTGCAACATCGTCTTCCACACCATCATCCACAGCTGTACCAACGCCCTACATCATCCTCACTTCGCAAAACTCCACAAAACAAGAGATTCAAGACCTCAACAACACACTCTCAAGAGATGCTGCACCAAGGTCACTGGAGGAGGTCATTAGTGACCGCACCGGCTTGGTGGCCATGTTCAAGGCGAACATCACTACTGAGCAGGCAAACGCTATGTCCAAGCGTCCTGGTGTAAGTCTTAGTTTCTTTAAGTACGTAAGTGCTCACAATACTAAAAGAACACATAGGTTGCCGGTGTCACTCCTGATGAGAGGCTGGAAGAAGAGCAACCGCCGTCATCTTCTGCACCGCCTTCATCTGCATCGCGCCAGCCAACAGCGACTGGTCCTCCTGGTTCGCCAAAGACAAGTGTTCCTAACCCGTCTGACATTGCGCTACAATCGGATGCAGTTGATGAACTCAAGGCAATTTCGCAGCCAGCTGGAGCAAGCATTGCGGACTTGCCTGGATTCGGATATGCTTCTGAAGCAGGAAAGGGAGTCACGATTTATGTCATTGACACGGGCGCCAATGCTGAGAACTCCGTATGAAATCCTCAAAAAGAATGCCCTCGTCCGAGACCAATTGCTAACTCATGGCAGGAATGGACGGGCATGACGGGAACGAAGGGCTTTATGTACGCCCCTGGCGCGACGAAGGACGAGACTGACTTCTTGAACCATGGCTCCTGTGTAGCTTCGAAAGCAGCCGGACCAGCATACGGCACCGCCAAGGGAGCTGATTTGATTGCTGTGAAGCTACCAGGCACTCTCTCGCTCTCCGCTATCTTCACAGCTTTGATTGAGATTAGCAACGATGTCTTCCAGAAGAAGCTTGAAGGCAAAGCTGTCATCAACATGTCCCTAGGATCTCGTAAGTCTCACGACAAGCCTCGTTCTCTATCGGCCTGGTTGTGCTGCACTTTTCAGAACATGTTAACCATCCACCTATGGCAGGTATCCCCGACAAATTGTCGTCTACCACCACCGCGTACAAGCTACTGCTTGTAGCCCTTATGGCGGAAGATATCGTCATCGTCACGGCGTCTGGAAATGATGCTGTGAGTGTTCCAAAATTGCGCCTTCTATTTATGGCCTTCCATCTTGCTAATCACGTTTCATTGTTCAGCAATATGGCGTGGATGATGTGACAGAGTACCCTGCTCTCTTCGGGCCTACCACGGATATCATCGTCGTTGGAGCGACTGAGAATGACGGCTACCGTGCATTTTTCTCCCAAGGCACTGGAGATCAACTAACTGTTTCTGCTCCCGGTTTCGTCGATTGTGCCTCTGGTAGATCTGCCGGTTCGCAGGAGCTTTATGGGACTTCGTTCGGTAAGTATTTGACATGTTTTGACAAAGACTACAGTCTGAAAAGCACACATGACTAACACTCAATCTTAAGCCGCTCCCGCAGTCGCTGGCGTGATTGCAGTCTGGCTTTCTCAAGACGAGCACAAGGCGCGTCTTCAGGTCCCGGGCTCAGTCGCCACAAACGTCAAGGAGATGGTCAAATCTCTCGCATACTCCAGAGTCGAGGGCGAGCCCGCCGTCATCTGGAACGGTATTGACCCTCGTGGTTTGGCATGCTCTGCCCCTGGATCTTCTGCGGGTAGACGTCGCCAAGCAGCGCCTTCGGGAGGCGCTGGTTCCTGTCAGGCAACTTCCGTTGCCTCTGCAGCTCCCACCAGCACCTCTGTTCCAGAGGCGCCGACCTCGACCACTGTTCCAGCTCCAACCTCTGCTGCGCCTTCGTCATCGGCATCTGCACAGCCTTCCCCGCCACCAAAACCGACATGGAGTGATGCTCCCCAAGGCTTTACTAAGGTTTTGGAGCGTGATGGAGTAGCTAGTGCCGACTACGATGCCACTTCTGATAGCGCAAGTGAGGGAGTGACGAGCGGAATAGAGCAGTGGTGTCTCTCTAAGTGCACAGGTCAGTCTACTCCATCCACGAGCCGTCTTTCACGTCTAACACTCTCTTCACAAAGATCAATGCGCCTCTGTCTTCCTTTACAGGGTTCTTCAATTCAACCGCGGTGCCTACAACCCTTATTATATCTGCAATAGGTTCGTCCTTCCCGTTCGAGCGTCAGATTTCAAACTATCAGCGAAAACCTAACATTTGGCACCTCAGGTATAACAAGGTGTGGTCTGATACCTTTATCCAAACTGGGATCAGTTCAAGTGACGCGGGCGTAGCATTCAAGTAAGTTGCTTCAAGAGCGTCCTATTTGTTTCTTTTTGGCTAACTCTGTCTTCAGCAAAGTATAGGATTCAAAAAAGAATGTGTCCGCGCTTGGTGTCTCCAGTACTCAAGTGTACAATCGTGATAACATGATGTTGATACTCCTACGTGGTTACTTCTTAGGGTCATACAAAAGAGAAACCAAATTTCCAAGCTTTCACGAGAATTTTCTTTCCGATTGCTTTCCATGCCTAAGACGGCAAACCAGAACTGCAAATATTAAGATCCTTCTGGCTAGTCTCTAGCCTGCATGCATAATTGTTCCCTCCCTGTCTATAATGCTACCATCTATATACTCGATCACTCTTTTTGCAATTTTCAAGGTTACAAGAGCGGATTTGCATACCTTCAATTGAGCGACAACTAACTTGGTAGTTTCATGTAAGAACTTATCACTGAACATGAAGGCCGCAATCCGAGGCTAAGGCGGCGCATTCCACTCATTGAGATAGAGCCGTCAAGTGAGAGCAGACTAAGGTACCGTATGCAAAGCAAGATGTTGCCATTCAGACTTTGATACTAACGTACCTATCTTGAAATCACCTCATCTGCACATACTGGGTACCAACTGCTTCATCGCTCTTGTCGGGGCTTGAAGTACACACACAAGGGAGGCTTGTCCCAGAAGAAGAAAACTTTTTGACCAGCTGCCCAAGATTTACTCTCCGGCGCCAGCTTCAAGTCGAAGTTCCAAATTATGCGGGCAAGAATTAACCTCATCTCAGCAAAAGCAAGGCTAGACACGCATGATGTTAGCAACCATCTCGATCAAGACCTCAAGGTCGAGGAAGAGCACGTTCAAGTACTAGAAAACATACTTCATGCCTAAGCAATTGCGAGGGCCATAAGAAAACGGCTGATGCAAGTTTTTCTGGTCGCCATCGAAACGCTCATCATCCAACCAACGCTCCGGGATAAACGCGTCCGGATAAAGAAACTTAGTGGGATCGTGATACGCAGCATACTGCCAGATACCAAGAGTCGTCTGCATGGTATTTGATGTTAGCATGAAACTCAAACAAGCCGCGTCATCATGCAGGTAGGTAAACTCACTCCTCCAGTGACCCAGTCCCCGGCGATCTGCGCACCGCTCGGAGGCGTCTGACGCAACAAGGCAATTGCAACAGCAGGATAAACTCGCATTGACTCTCTGAGAACAGCAAGCATGTAAGGAAGACTCTGGACGCTGTTGACATCAATCTCCTGCTCGCTCTTGAATGCTGAGCGAACTTCGGCGTTCAGCTTTGCGAGGACTTCGGGGTGGTTGCCCAGAAAGTATGTCGTTGCCGCGAGAGTCGTGGCAGTTGTCTCAGAGCCGGCGGTGGTGAGAAGGACCATGTTATCCCTCATCTCCATCGGAGACATTTCCTACACACCATATCTGTGAGACGAAAACGTAGGAGATTTGGGCTGTGGGTTCGATAGTTGGTACTCACGTGTTTCTCGCCGCTCTTCAACAAGGCTTGAACAAAGTCTGGCCGATCACCCCCAATAGCCAGCCGCTTCTTCAGATTCTCCTCGGCCATCACCTGGCTTAGATGCCGCTGTTTCAGCACATCCTTGGGAACAAAAAGAATGAAGTAGAGAGGCTTTAACACAGAGAAGAGAGGGAAGTCGCTAATGGCTTGAATCCACGGGATGATCTTCATGGACGCGAAGAAGCTGTCCACCCAAGGGTGCGAGGCCGAGTTCTGCAGACATCCAAAGGGCTCGCCAAAGGCCAGATCCCCAATAATGTCGAACGTCGTCCACTCAAACCACTTGGAAGCATCCATAGCCACCGTTCCACGTTTGCTGTGTTCATGTACTCTCTGAATAAAGAGGCTGATCAATCGGTCCATCAGGGGCTGTTGCTCCGCCATTGCTCGAGCAGAGAACGCGTGAGACAGAAGTCGTCGTGCGGGCCCGTGCCTCTCGCGTGATGCCGAAATAAGACTCCTGTCCATCTCTTCGTTGCCGTACTTTGGATCTTTTCCGTTCTCGTCTTGTCCGCGCTTGAGATGTCCGCAGACATCCTTCCATGCGTCAGCGTGTGCAAGTGCCAGCTCGTTGGGTCCAACGCGCACGACGTCGCCGTAGCGCTTGTGCAGTTCCAGAATGGACAGGTGGGGAGTGCCTCGGAGGATGTTGACGGCTGCAGGTACAGGCGTAGCTGCCCATAGCTTGGGTCCCGGGTAGCGGCGTAAGGGGTGAAAGAAGAGGTTGTAGATGACCGTTGCCACTCCGTAGATGCTTAGCTGAGAAAGTGATTAGCTTGGGTAAGGCCTTTCTGTTTCCGGCTGACATACCGCGGCCGCTGAAACAAGGAGCGACAACGCGGCTGAAGGCATCGCGAATGTGATGACAGACTTAGCTGCAGTGACTGCTAAGAGATAGTGAGAAGACGAGTATCAACTGAGATCTTGTAACAGAGATCGTAGCTTGGTTTGATGATTCTTGCTCAAAAACCACGTAAACAGATGCCGAGGGGTTCATTTAGGGTATTTCTATTCCATGTACTCTCGCAAGACCAACTTGAGTCGTCCGCCGAGCAACGGCCTAAAAGTACCACTCTGTCCTGTCAGTCCGTCCCCTGGTTCCGGCTCGGTTGCGCAACGCAGCCCGCCCGGCCCGCCGATCTCCCAGGAGCTCGGGTCTCAATTTCCAAGCCGGGGGCCGTTTCCCGAACGGCGAACCTTGTCTTAACGGCTCCTCGCCTATCGCACAATGTCCACCCTAGCGTCCAGCCAATGAAAGCCAAGGTATTGCATTGGTCTTAGCGTCTGACGTTTGCTTTCCGACATCTCGGCACTAGGATCAGCGTTGCTTTCTAGTTTACGCCATGTGCATAAGGTACGATGAGGTTGTCATCGGTTAGCTGTCAGAGCTGTCCGTGGACCGTTCGGGGGAACATGGATGCTCGTAAAATACGAGTCAATGTCGGGGAATATGGAGATCATACCGGCACGTCTGCGGGTGACTCCTGATGTCCGAGGCGACTGAATAAAGCCATGCGCTTGAGGACGAATCAAGTCCAACTTGGCAGTTCAACGACCCAGGTTCGATGATCCTCATCAAGGGAGACAAACGCACCATCCTCGAGTCCCCGGACCCATTTTTCAGACCACCATCTTGTCGGAAGCCTTTGGATTATTTTGCAAAAGTACGTGTACACGACCAGTGCTTCCTGGGAGGCATCATGGCCCTGGATCAAGGCGATCAGATCACCCCTGTGGTCTGACACGTTGCTGATCCAGAGGAACCCGTGGAAGATGTCTCTGCTCTCCGGGAACTCGGTCAGGACCGCAAAGGTTGCTTCAAGCTCTTCCGCAGCATGCAGGTACGTCTCGTAATGTTCATTCGATTCGGTTTCTCTTATGCGGGCAAGTAAGGTGCTGAGATATTGCTTCTTTGATATTCTCTCACGGTCTGCGAGCATTCCCATCGTGTATCCAATCACTGGATGGGTTAGACTGGTTGTGGTGTGTAATGCCATTGACGCCAGCGCGATTGACCTTGATCCGTGGAAGAAAACCATCCAGTCTGGGGATGATGTTTCTTTCCGGCTCGGGCGGCCAAAGAAGGCATCTTGGGGGCGTTCCGTCTGTGAGATGACTACAGGAGTACAAGGGATATTAGCGCCACATATCGGTCGAGAAGGAAAGTGGGCGGTGCGTACTGTAAAACATGATGAACATTGAATATAAAAAAAGGTTTTCTCGCATTGCGATATCTTCCACTTGGTCTATATGATGTATTGATGCAATAGTTGCCGCTGTCGATGTGTTGTGGTGCTTCAGTGCATGTCGAAAGAGGGCTTCTTCTCGCGCTGGGTTCAGAGTTGCTAGGTGAACGGCGGACAGGGCCAGTAAGCTCCGCATGACAAAGTCACAGCGGAACCCGATTTGCGCCGCATTCCTCAGCCAGAAAGTCCGAATCACAGGGCTGACTGTCAAGCTATCGTATGTATAGAGTGTCCAGTGATGTATGAGTTCGAGATCAAGCATATTGAGATCAAGTGCTCCGTCCCTGAAAGAAAGACTATGAGACAGAGTTGATGTCGTAGTCTCCGTGGGAGGGTATGGTTTTGGTGAAGGATAACTGCAGGCAATAGCTTGCCTAGTGCATTGGCTGCATTGTGGTCTTCTCTCATCGCACTATCCCGAATAGAAGTTAGATATGGGCTCAACTTGGCCTTGGATGGCCGCCTGCCTTACTTTTACGTGCCTCGTCTTACACGCAATACATCCCGTTCGAACCTTCTTATGAGCTCTCTTAGGCCCATTTCTCAAGGAAGGAAGGTTTTCCATGTCAATGTCTAGCGTTAACAGCTCCGGCGGGCACTAGGTATCAAGTAGTTAGGGGTCCAGCGGCAAGCGTCAGTGGGTTGCAGCCGAGGTCAGGGGTTACTGCTCCAGGGATCTAGCAGCATCGACACCGGCGAGTCTGGGAGCTGGTCAAACGCATGACGGGTTGTCTTGATCAGATTGTTGTTCTGTCAAAGGAATGAAGCGGACGGGTTGCCTTTGCGGTTGAGTTACTGACGACGGATTTACGGGGCCCGCGCAGACGGGTTCGGATCACTTGGCCCCACTTCGGACTCGCGACGAGAACGAAGTGGGGCTGCGCTTCGACTTAGACGGAGGGCCAATTATGATCAACGAAATGCGCGAAAGGCCTACAAGCTCGCGATTATTGAATAACTTGATGAGGGATCTCATTATTAAACATGATAATACCATTGTATTTTAACTCTCGTTTTATTCTGGATTATTTGCTCTGGTTCTGGTAAACTCATCTGAGGCCTAGCTTCGCAAGATGCACAGACTTGGACCATGACAAGCATCAGCTGAAGCCTCATGAAGGCTTCGTGTTCACGACGCTGTAAGTCGAATTGGCTGCTCTCTTCAATTTCTAGTCGAAACCAAGTTAGTAAATCCCTGAGATCCTATCCCCTGGTTCTAGTCTTCCTATATGCCTTACCACTAGCCCTGAGTATCAGAGCTTGGGACCCATGCGCACTTCCCGGGCTTTAAGAAGCCCGCTACCCCTTCCGTTCCTCCGTCTATTCCAATCCTTATTGCTCCTACTTCTGGAAGGAAAAGTCCTTTCTCCTGTACATTATGTCAAAGTCTCTTGCAAGCCAGGTGCCCCGCGCCGTGGGACTCGCGACGAGATCAATTCCAGCACCGGCCAGCGTTCGATGCATAGCAACTTCCCTAAGCTACCAGAAATCTGTCTCTCCACGCCCCAACCGTCGCGAGATCGCTCTTCCTACACAATCACAGCCTAAGTCCCTTGTGGAATATGCTGTGTATGTACCCAGTCCCAGGCGCACCACCCTTGGGTTGCTACTAATCACTCTCTCGCCAGAACCACCCTCGACAAGCTCGCCAACTGGGGTCGTCAGTCATCGATGTACCCAATGACATTCGGCCTCGCATGTTGCGCCGTAGAGATGATGCAAATCGCCGGGCCACGATACGATCAAGACCGATTCGGCTTCATGTTCCGAGCATCACCGCGCCAGTCAGACGTCATGATAGTCGCCGGTACTGTCACGAATAAGATGGCACCCGCTTTCCGCCAGGTCTACGATCAGATGCCGGAACCGCGTTGGGTCATTAGTATGGGGAGCTGCGCCAACGGCGGAGGGTATTATCACTACAGTTATTCTGTAGTCCGTGGTTGTGATCGCTTGGTGCCGGTGGATATCTATGTTCCTGGATGCCCGCCCACGAGCGAGGCGCTGCTTTATGGAATGATGCAACTACAACGGAAGATGCGACAGGGAAGAACGTCGAGAATGTGGTATCGTAAATGAGCTGCACAAATATTCCTGTGGATCTGTTATCTACGCTTACTAGATGCTGTTTATCTCATCTTATTGATGAAGAGGAAAGAATCGTATCTTATCAAATCCATGGCTTAGCTGGAAAGGCGGAATTCTAAAGACGTCTGGCATTCGAAAAGCGCTCTATGGCACAGGCAAGTGGTAAAGGATCATACCGTATCAGGCTACATACCTTGGTGGATTCGGTCTTTAGATGAAGGGGAAAGGGGTCATAGGATGCAAAGTTGCCTCATCTGTCATCTGTCACATCATGAGTTGGATGCTTGAGTTGTTGTCTACCTCGATGAAGTCTCCCGAGGTATTACTGCATCCGTTGTCCAATTCATGGTGTCGTCAGATGCCTTTTTCCCTCCGTATTGCAAACCCGGGGTCATTGGTCTCCCCAAGTCCAGAATTCGTGACGAGGACAGATTCGGATGGAGAAGAGAGACTCTGAGAGGTAAATGAGGGTATCTGATTCAATTTTCGATCTCTTAAAACAAGTTTTCCGTTGTACCCCTGAACGCCATGCCATGCGACATCCCCGAAACCCTGCCCAAGCACCGCCCGTCTAGAAAGCGGTTCTGCGCTTGCGCCCAGTGTATTTGGAGGTAGACTTGACGACCTTTCCCTTCCTCTCCATCTGCTCCTTCTTCTTGACGATCCACGCCTTACTTCCCTTCTTGATGTCACCCTTACCACTCTGCTGACTGGCCTTCCTCCTCGCGTCCTCGACATCGACGTTGTCCATACCATCAACGACATTTGTGATGTCTCCTCCGCGACCGCCCTCTGCGGTACCGCCGACAGTCAGCACAAGATAGAGCTTGACGTTCTTTGTCTCGGGGTCATCCTCGAGCAGACCGGCGCCGAAGCCGGCCTTGACTGCGGCCTGAGTAATCATATTGCGCTGGGTGTCGTTCTTGGGGTAGAACTGGCACACGGCGCGACCTCCTCTGCGTAATGACGCGTAGAGGCCGTTGAAGAATCTGGTGAGGCGGCCCTCGGGCGAGGTATCACTGCTCTCGGCGTTGCAAAGCCATTGAATTGCGGAAATGCTGATAGCAGCGTCGAAGGAACCGGCGCGGAATGGTACGCCCTGTCCGATATCTGCGAGGAGGAGATCGCCCTCTACGTCTCTTTGGAGAGCAATATCGAGCATGGATGGTGAGACATCCATGCCGACCCAGGTGTGTGGTCCACCATCTTCAGGGCCCTCGGCGGTAAGGATTTCGCCGGAGAGACCGCTGCCGCAGCCAACGTCGAGAATGAAGGAAGGCTGTTTGAGGTCGAGGAGCTCAAGAGCACGGCGGGTCATGGACGCCTGGATATTCTGGATACGAGAACTCGTCGTGTACTTGCGGGCTTCGGAGTCATTGTAGTGGATGTCGGCCGCACTGAGAGCAGAGAGATTTGGTCAGCTGGAGGCACATGGCGGGGTTGGAGGGGAGGCCTGTAGCCTACAGGGTATCCTCAGGGCGCGACATATTGGGCAGTTTCTGTTGGAAGATTGAACTCGGCCGATCTTGAATGGGGCCTCCCGTCAATATTCGCTTCAAGGCAGTCTGTCGTCAAGCCGGCGCATCGAAGAATTGGGCGGTGAATTGTGTGTCGTGAGAAATCCTCGAAAATTCACAACTGGGGGGTCACGGATAGTTATCGATAAGGAACCCGACAACCACCATCAATCATTATCGATAAGGATAAGGTCCCCGACGACAGCCGGGGGTTACACTAAGGTACTCAGGTTAGTGAGGTCGAAGGCCGGAGGATGCGTCCAATCAAACGATCGCTTATCTCATTCACCGCGGATCATGGAATCTCCCGAGTGCCCGTCCACTACGGTACCTACCCGACGCGCAGAGGCCACGCTTTCGCAAAGTGGATTTCACGACGCGCCCTGGCCAGCTCCGTCATAGCTTCAAGAGACAATGTAGGGAGCTTCTGTGCACAACCCTCCTCCCCCGGCAGACCAATAATTCAACAACTTCACACACTCTCTCTTTTCATTTCTCACTTCACTTCATGCGACATACTACGACGACATTCTAAACATAACGTCCGTCACCATGTGGATTCTACCTTTGGTCGGCTACCTTGGCTCCATCGTGGGCTTCTGCTTTCTGACCCTCGCCATCGGTTCGTCCTGATCCCCCGGACTCTCCCTTGGCACTCAGGTTGAGGATGCTTCCTTACTAACACCCCTGTGTCCAGCTTCCGGTCTGTATTACTTATCGGAGCTTGTCGAGGAGCATACCGTTTTTGCGAAGCGCCTTCTTACAAAGTTGATTTACTCGGTTATTGTTTTGCAGCTCTTGCTGTGCATCGTCGACCGATTTCCTTTCAAGTTGACCCTCATGGGAGTTGTCTCCCATGTCGTCTACCTCGGCAACATGCGCCGATTCCCTTTCGTTAGGCTGACTGACCCTCTGTTTCTGGCCTCTTGTGGTATGTTTCTGTGCTGCTATACATCCACGTTCGGAACTAACCTTTGCTTGTTCTAGTTCTGGTCCTCGTCAACCACTACATTTGGTTCCGCCACTTCTCTGCCGCGCAGCAAAGATCGTACTCGAACATGCACTCTTACTACGATCAACCCGACGTCCCGAGTTTCACCGAGATCGCCTCATACTTTGGGCTCTGCGTTTGGCTCATTCCCTTTGCTCTCTTCGTGAGCTTGTCCGCTAGCGACAACGTCCTGCCTACGATGGGAAGCGAAGACCCCTTGCGGGACTCCTCTGGCAAGAGCAAGCGCCAAGGTTTCGTCAAGTCTATCGTAGATACAGTTCTTGGTGCGCTCGCGGAAGTCTTCAGAACAGTCGGATGGGAGCGGAGTTGATCTTCTCATAGCGTCAGCGAAAAATAGACGGATGTCACATGCCGAGCATGTGGTGTGTACAATATGTCGGTAGTCTACGGTAACTACGGTATTATCAACCCTGAAAAGGAGCGAGAGAATAGATACCTGGGGATTTTCTCCAGCCAAAAGGCTCCTCTTGGCGTTGTGCTGCTTGTGCGGCTCTTTTGCACTAAAGGTCAGCCGACTTTGTCTGAACTTACAGACGAGTTGCGGATGGATTTCTCAACACATAACCATGAAGAGAGCCACCAGGCTCACATGTTAATGCGTGTACCAATCTGCTAGTCATGACCTGCCACGCAAGCGACCATCTCTGAAATATAGTGTTCTCGGACTGCGGCCTCGGTGAGGCGGCCAATCAAGCCCAACTCAAGGCAGAAGTACCCTGCATGACCCATGCTAGCCATATTCTTGTTGACTGGAACTTGACCCGTACGGCGGCCAAGCGGCAAAAGTCCACGCCAGAAGGATTAAGCAAAAAGCTCGGTGACAAAGTGCCAGACCTTTAGCGGTCGATCATCGAACTTTCCATTCCGCTCGCATTCTGTCATGGTCTTTTTGCACCGCTATCTCACATCCGTTCGCAAATCCTCATGATCCAATGGACAATCAGGGACCAAGGGCGAGCGGCCGTGCCTTGCACTAGTCTTCGGGAGTCAAAAGTACCTGCGTACTTTTGCCTGGTTTGAATTGCAGGGTTCTTTTGAGCGGCGGCCCAGTCTCTCGTCTGGCGGCGGTGATAGGAGGCAATCATCACCGGCTCTCAGACCTCATCATCATCATGGGCAACGACTTTTAGACTTTTATTAATCTCTTCGATACCTTGGAGTCAGCCGCAAAAAGACCCCGCTGAAAAGCCCCTGATGTTTTTGTCGGTGAGGAGGAGGGCGAGGAGGCAGAAGAGGAAGAGGAGGAGGACCCTCCCGCTTCACTCCTCATGATGGTGAGGAGCGAGGATCATGAGGAGCATTCATCATGAATACAAAAGCTGGTCCGTCGAGCGATTTTTCCCCTATCCTGAGCCGCTCAATCTCTCATTGCAATTCACACAACACATATCATCTCAGTCGCAGCAAAGACGAACAAGCACCCAAGTCCTGCTCTCACAGCCGCCAAGATGTCTTCCAACCGAGCTCATTCCCCCTCTCAATACACCGCCATTCCCCGGCCCAGGCAAGCACAATTCTCAAACGTCTTCACCTACAATCAACCCAATGAATCCGACAGTCTCAACACCTGGCTGACTGCCCCTGCTTCGGCGGCGCCGTTCCACAACATTGCCGCCTACCGATTGTCGGCCTCGGCTTCCGCCGGCGGCGCGAACATGCGGGGCCCCGCACCCGCTCCGAGTAGCAACGGCGCGACGTGGGGCAGCGGGCACGGCCGTCAGAACTGAGCGCAGAGTCAGGCCGCGTCGAACGCCGCACAGCAGCATGCGTTCATCGACAATAAGAGTCGATGGTTTTTCTTCGGGTGTTTCAAGGGACGGAATCTGGGACGGATAACTGGGCGTTGGGTTAAAATAGGGACACAATTGTGCATGCGTGAAGGCTAGCGAAACGGAATGGTGTACTTCCAGGTTGGGCTTTAAAGGGGATGTGACTGCAATCTTTCACGATTGACAATATTACCACATGTCTTCTCTGCGCTTTCCAAGATGACTATAGATGATCTGTGCCGCAGGTACTTCTCCGACAGTGCCAACATAGCCCGTTGACAATATCTAATGACGGTGGTATGATCTCTTAGGACCGTTAACTCCGTGCTTGAGGTCTCCCATATAGGAAAAGCAAGACTGCCAACACCCAATGAAGGATACCTATCTCCGGCATCGTATCCTTTGTAAGGGGTTTCTGATGGGTTCATGTAGCAGAACGGGTAACTATGGCCCCGAAGCAACATGAGCAGCCCATTTATCTTACGCGTCGTGATCTTCGGGTGAACCAATTTCAAGGCTGTCCGTTCCAAGCATGCTTCCAGTGAGTGCGGGCTGCCTCGCGTCTTACATGCTTTATTAGTGTTTATTTTAGGTATCGTTTGAGACTGGTGGGTATATAGAGGCCGTTCCTGCGTTCTCATCATCTTGTCCGAGGGGCAGTTACAAGCAATACCTTACTCTCTCTTCCCAAACTAAGCACTACTAAACTGTTCAGTACGACACAGAACACCAAAGTCATGTCTCCTTCTTTCAACAACCAAACCAAAGCGAGCGAGCTGGTGCCCGTCTACGCCCCCCACATCGCCGGCAGGACGATACTCATCACGGGCGTCTCCCCGGGCAGCATCGGCGACAGCTTCGTCAAACAAGTCGCCGTAGCTAGGCCAGCCACATTCATCCTAGCCGGCCGCTCACCCTCAAAGTTCCAACCCCTCATCGACGAACTCGGAATCACACACCCCGAGATCAAGTTCAAGCCCTTGACTCTAGACCTCACCTCCCTCGCCAGCGTCCGAAAAGCAGCAGAGACAGTGACCTCATGGCCAGACGTCCCCCACATCGACATCCTCGTCAACAACGCCGGCATCATGGCCTCAGCCTACAGCCTCACAGAAGACGGCTTCGAAAGCCAGTTCCAGACAAACCATCTAGGCCACTTCCTCTTCACAAACCTCATCATGTTCAAGATCCTCGCATCCCCTTCCCCCCCGCGCATCGTCAACGTCAGCAGCAACGCCCACAGGCTCGGCCACGTGCGCTGGACGGACTACAACTTCAACAGAGGAAAGCACTACGACAAGTGGATGGCCTACGGGCAGTCCAAGACGGCCAACAGCCTCTTCTCCATCGCCCTTGCCGAGAGGCTGGGACCATCAAAGGGTGTGATGGCGTTTAGTCTGTGCCCGGGGTACGTCCCCACGAACCTTGCCGCGCACGAGGCGCATGACTTCCCCGGGTTCCTCGAAGCCCTGCGTAAGGCTGATGTTGTGGTGGGGAGCAAGTATATGTGGGGAATGGGGGATATCGAGCCCAAGGATATGGACCAGGGTGCCGCGACGCACGTGTTTGCGGCGTTTGATCCGGAGCTAAAGGACAAGAATGGGGAGTTTCTTACTGATTGTCGTGTTGCCGACCCGTGGAAGGAGGAGGTATATCCTTGGGCTAGGAGCAAAGTCGATGCGGAGATGCTGTGGGCTCTGAGCGAGAAGCTTGTTGGGCAGGAGTTTAGATACTGAGATGGACTATATGAATTCCGTTCTCCCTCTGGTTAAATACAGCTGTGTATAATTCAACTTTCATCTCAAAGCCATCACCCGCAGTAGCCGAGCGGCATACAACCGGTAGAATCACGACGTGGCACAACAACCGAGATTCATAGGAAATCGAACCTCACAAGTTTGACTCCTGAACTTTTGACTTTTTTCTCATGACTTCGTCCCCCGCCTTCGCTCGCTCATACTTCCTTGACCTCTGTTATTCCTTAAAGATCCGAACGCCGTTATGCTTGATGCCTTGGGGGGTTTGGGGTTGCTGAAGTGAGCATTAGATATGAGTAAAGATGCTTGAATAGATTCACTACTGGACCTGAGTCAGGTAGCTAGCTATACAGGTAAGTAGGATTGAGAGCGATCGAGGACGGGATGTTCGAGGGTCTCGGCGGACCTTGGAGATGGAGGATGGGAGGAGGGTAGCTTCAGCCACATCTCCGGAGCACTCGCCACAGTTCGAGAAAGCCCGTAGCATAGCCACATAGAGGGGCATTCTCACTTACCTAATCATTCAAAACTTCCTCACTTGTGCTTGCTTAGCCACAGTTTCCTTCACACAGCCACTGGACTCCAATTGTTTCACCGGCTGATCCTTGCAGTCCGACGAGTGGCGAAAAATCAACCACCAGCAACATCTTGGCGTTGAACGTCGTCGTCTCTAGCACCATGTTGGCTGGCTCGAAATCCTCCTCACACCGGCCTAGACGGACATACCCGCCTCTGATTGGGGCTTCGAGTGCCTCCCGACGCGTACGCTCGTCATGCGTAGGGCGAAACCAGGCTAAGAAGCGAGACGAAGTGCGACTTTGCGGCGGCCGATTCAACAAGCTTGACAGGAAAAAGTGTGCCTCCATGGCCCTCCACCTCTTACGGCGGGCTTCCTGGATGTGCCAGACAGGGAAAATGAGGCTGTGCCACTGCCGAGCTACCGACGTCATTCGTCCAAACTCGACACAAACGCGTTGGTCCCCGTCCCAAGGTTCGGTGACTTTGCGCACATGGGACTGCTTTCACCTTTCTCGCTGTTGTTCAAAGTCTTTTTCGCCCTGCATAACGGAGACCGAGTGGTCCTAAAGGCTCTAGCCCACAGTATCCAATCTGCCAGTCTCCTTGACTGGTCTCGGCTTTGGTATCCGACGCCGAGTGACAGACGAAATTGCAGTATCCGTATTGCCGTAGGCGGGCCAAAAAAGGGCCCAAACGGATGCCTCTTCTTTGCTGGGCTGCCTCAAGCCAAGCAACATCCATGGAATGCTAACTCTAATGTCGCCGTACCGCCGTATTCCCCGGTGGCGACGCAGAAGTAGGCGAAGCTTTACCCTTTTCCCCACGCCCCAAGGTCGTCACTGGGGGCTGACGACGCGGCTTTGCGACGACTTGGAGCCCAGATCCAGGCACCCTTTCAAGGCTATTGGGCACACTCACACCTGGGGGGCATGTGATGTTCGGTCGAGACACGTCTCGCGCCGTAATGCAGGCTTGCGCTGCGTAACTGCGTAATCCCACATAAGCTTGTTCTTTGGTCTTTGGGCTGGGCGAACAGTAGTCTCCTCTTTAAAAGGCTCTCCCTTCCCCGTGTTGTATTCGCACCCTGTTTTCGAGGTCCAAGACTTTTCCTTGCGCAATCACCCACATCACACATACATCGAGACCAGTCTGTGATGGGATCATTGTACGAGGTTCCAGAAACCAGTCGTCACCGCCCAACTAACGTCTCTATCAGACCCGAACGCGACATGGCTCCGAATATCGACTCGGCGCTGGGGACGGCGGACATGGCGAATGAGCAGCGCGGCCTTCTCGAGCTCATCGACAAGCTGCAGTTTGCCCAGCTCGACAATGTCAAGCTGCCACAGATCGTCGTCGTCGGCGACCAGTCGGCGGGAAAGAGTTCCGTCCTCGAGGCCATCACTGGCACCCCGTTCCCTCGTGATGCCGGCGCCTGCACACGATTCGCAACCGAGATCCGCCTGCGCAGGTCAGCCGAAGCGAGTCTCAACGTCTCCATCATCCCCGACAAGAACAAGCCTTTCAGAGACCAGGAGCGATTGAAACAATTTGGCGGAGCTGTCGACACAGACATGTCCTTTGAGTCTCTCATGAGATCTGCGGTGGAAATGATTGCCCCCAAGAACATTCCGGGCAGATTCGCCGCTCGCGACATTCTGGTGGTTGAGAAGAGAGGTCCCGACATGCCCCTGCTCACCCTCGTCGATCTTCCAGGTCTCGTCAAAAACGCCAACAACGACCAGTCGATGGACGACATCAAGACGATTGAGACCCTTTGCGACCGATATATGAAGAGTTCCCGAACCATTATCCTTGCTGTCGTTGGCGGCAACACCGATTACGTCCAGGCACCCATTCTCACAAAGGCACGCCACTTCGACCCCTCTGGCAGCCGTACCATTGGTGTCCTGACAAAACCCGATCTTTGCGAGTCGATCGGTCTGGAAGACAAGTTCATCGAGCTCGTCCAGAACAGAGATAAGCAAAACTACTTCAAGCTCGGTTGGTACGTTCTGCTGAACCCTGGACCCCGCGACCAAGGCCAGCCATGGCCTTCAGCCCGTGAACGTCGTCAACGTGAGGAAGAATTCTTTGGCCGCGGAAAATGGCGTGCTCTTCCCAGCTCCATGTGTGGTGCCAATGCGCTCAAGCAAAAGCTGAGTGTTCAGCTGCAACGTCACATTGGTCGTCACGTTAAGACACTTCGCAAGCAGATCCAGAAGGCGCTCGACGACTGCGACTCAGAGCTCAAGTCCATGGGCACTGGAAAGGACACTGTCGAGGAGATGCGCATCGAGCTCGTTGAGCTCTTCTCCAGTTCCAAGGAACTGGTTATCCCCGCCGTCTACGGTTTCTACAAGAATCCCCCTCGCAAGAACTTCTTCCGCGCCACAGCCGACCCCCGCGGCACTCCCGCTCAGAACTTGCGTGCCCGCGCCATTGAGGAGAACGAAAAGTTCTCGCATCGTATCCGCCAGAACGGTCGCAAGTTTGGCTTCTCGTCATCCACTGCACCCGGTACCGCAGATGGTGTTACCATCAGCGATAGCAGCAAGAGAGAGTTTGTCGGTAGAGAAGTCGAGATGCTTCTGCGACAGATTCGTGGTTCCGAATTTCCAATGGATCCCAAGCCTCGCGCTGTCTACATGCTTTTCCAGAGCTACTCAGAGAACTGGCCAAAGCTCGCTCAGGAGCATAAGGACAATCTCGGCGTCGTGTGCAACGAGTTTCTCAGTGAGGTCATTGACTTCGCGTGGCCTCAGCGTATGCGCGAGCCCCTGCGCTATCAATTCCTCGATGTTCAGATGAAGAAGCTGCTGGCCGACGCACAGGTCGAGCTTGAGCACCTAACGCAAGACATGAACCTCGAAATCCAGCCGTACGACCCCGAATACGAGGAGCGTCTTCGCAAGTGGCAGATCGAGACCACCAAGGATGGTGCCACCTACACCGAGGCGCAGGAAGTCTGCGAGAAGATGTTGATTTTCTACGAGCTTGCGGCCAAGACCTTCATCCGCAACACCATTACGCAGGTCGTCGAGAGACATTTGCTGCAGGGCATGTACAGCATCTTCAACTCTGTTGAGATTCTCGGCATGCCTGCCGAGACGGTCGAAGCTATCGCCGCCGAGAACAAGGAGACGCGCGACCGCAGAATGACGCTCAAGACGCAGAAGACTGCGATCGAGGAGGCCCGCGACATTTGCGCCAGCTTGGCCATGCGCAAGGAGCTGAGAATGGTAAGCCACATCTGTTTCCCCTCATCACAATCAACAATGCTAACAACTAACTCACAGTATGCCGATGAAGACCGCGATCTAGAGGACAACAGCTCCGATTCAGACGAAGACAAGCCAAAGCAGACAACTACGCGCAAGCCTGTCAGCAACAATGCCAGCCCGAGCCGCGAAACAACTCACCGCTTAACACGCTCCCGCGACGAGCGCGAGGAGCGTCCCTCAGCGAGAACACAACCCACTGAGTCGGTGACGAACGGCTACTCCTACGGCGGCCACCAAGCGCCGGCCCAGGCTCCTCCCGTCCCGACCTCGAGACCGGAGCGCGCCGAGCCCGCTAGGACAAACACCAGCACATCTCAGTGGGAAGATGAAGAGTACTATAGAGCCCCTTCCTCCCAACAGGCCTCCGCGCCGGCCCAGGCACCTCCCCCGCCTCCTCGTCCCCAGAAGCTAAGGCCCGAGGATGCGGCGTCGGATGCGTATAGCCACCGCTCGCAGTCTTCGATTTCGGAGCAGCAGCACGCTAATGGTTACGGAGGGTATTATGACGCCAATGAGCACGCGCCCTCGTCTACGAGACGTGTGACTGCCAAGAAGCTGTTTGGTAGAGGTTAAAACGGAAGAGTAGACCGAGAGACAGGCCTCAGTTTGAGCACGGGATTCTAAATTTAGCGATACGATCTGTTGGCGTTTGGTAGGATGATCCGATTTCCCATTTTGGGTAGACAGTGGTCTCTGAGACAGAGGGACATTGGATGGAAACTTGCCAGGTGCAATAGCTTGGATTGGATAGCACTTGATACCATTTATATAGAATTATACACAATATCAATTGAAAATGGACCTTTACAAATGTGATTTATGAGCCCTAAGAAAGCAATCTGGAGTAGAAGGGAAGACCTGACGCCTTGCGACATTGCGATTAAAACCATGTCACGTAGCCAGCATGCACATTTTTGGTCCGACATCACTTGAGAGAAGGACGCTAACTCGGAGCCTTTCCGGTAAACTCAAGACAGGACGAAAATCGCATCACTCTGTCATATCGAGCAGACAATGACAGGTACAATCACAGTGGAATTTCGTCGTTGGTTCATTGGTCATCAATTGTCATTATAGTATACATCTAACATGCTTTTCCCAAACCTTTATTCAATGCAATATTTCCATCCGTCCATGCTTCGAGACTCTTACTCCTGGGCAATCTTCAAGACAGCCTTACCAAAGTTCTGGCCGGTAAGCATGCCAATGAAGCCCTCAGCAGCCTGGTCAATGCTATCCGTCTGGTGGATCTTGACCTTGAGCTCGCCGTTGGCAATCATGGGCTGAACCTTCTCCTGGAAAGGCCTGTACTTCTCGGGCGAGAGGTTAACGAGGAAGCCCTGGAAGGAGAGCTTCTTGGCGACGAGGTGGAAGAGGCCGCGGACGCCCTTCTGCTGCTCGCGCGGGGTGTTGTAGTCGGAGATCATGCCGCAGCCGATGATGCGGCCCTGCTGATTGAAGGACTCGAGGGCAGCCTCGAGGTGGTCGCCGCCAACGTTCTCAAAGTACATGTCGATACCCTGGGGCGCGAGGCGCTTGAGGGCGTCGTGAGGGGACTCGGTCTTGTAGTTGAAGCCGGCGTCGAAGCCGAGCTCGTTGATGATGAAGTCGAGCTTCTCGTCGCTGCCGACGGAGCCAATGACCTTGACGCCCTCAGCCTTGGCGAGCTGGCCGACAATCTGGCCGACGGCACCGGCAGCGGAGGAGACGAAGATGGTCTCACCCTTCTTAGGCTTACCGATGTCGTAGAAACCCTCGTAGGCGGTCATACCGGGCATGCCGAGAGCGCCGACGAAGAGGGGAAGGTCGACGTTGTGGGTGTTGGGGACCTTGAAGAAGCCGGGGAGGAACTTGGCGGGGATCGCGGCGTACTCGGCGTTGGGGCCCATGAAGGAGGTGACGAGGTCGCCGGCGGCGAACTGGGGAGCATCGGAGCGCTCGACGCGGGCGACGATGGAGGAGGCGATGACGGCGCCCTGCTCAAAGGGAGGAATGTAGGACTTGCCGGCCTCGGCGGGGCGCATGCGGCCGCGCATGTAGGGGTCGAAGGAAGAGTAGAGGACCTTGATGAGGATGCCGCCGTTGAGGTCCTGCTCGAGGTCGATGGGGCGATCCTCGGTGACGAGGTCCTGGCCGGCGACAGGCAGGCCCTTGGGGACCTGCTTGAAGATGAAAGACTTGTTGGGAGTAGGAGCCATTGTAAAAGTGTTTCAAGTGTGAGTGTCTAAGTGGCGGGATATCAAGAAAGGGAATATGTAGTGGATTGGATATATAGGGAAGAGATGTAAGTGATTCTTTCAAACTTCGACCGGAAACTTTGGGATGATCTTGGTGTTAAATATATCGTAGAAACCATCTGCTCCATATCATGACGAATCCCGTCAAAGGGTCCATCGGGCCCGCGCCGGGTCCGACCCTGTGATCCGCTTGGAACGGTTCAATGTTCAGCTCCCCTCAAGCTTCCTGGTGAACACGGGGCGACGGAAGGCATTGGAAACGGCAACGTCATGATGGAAGAACTGCCAGGAGGGGCATCCACTTTGCTTGTTCGACCGGTGGAGTTTCTTCGACAGCCCGGGGGTCGCCGGCATTGGCCATGCCCAATAGACCGTGTTTTGTGAGGTGGTCCCTGGAAAAAGGATAGCGGAATTGTCAAACGGGACTTGGCCGCTGTTGTCCCCACGGACCCTTTCTTTTGATCTGTCAGCAGCAGCACTTAAACATGGGCGCTAGATTTTTTCTTCCTTTCCATTTGCCCCTCCATCTTTTCTTGGTGAAATATGCCGCGGTTCATGGCGGGGCACATCCCTCTTTGAGATGCGGAAACACATACCAGATATCGCTTGGGTAGGCGGTGTGTCTGAGAGGCCCAATCAAGCTCACCGATGTCACCATAAAGGCCATTAGAGGCCAGGGCCTCCCAGACTCTCTGATCTGCGGTCAAGATCGCTTCGTTAATCGACGTGGTCGTATGTAGACTTTGACTTGCACAGCTCCCGCCATTGTTGTTTGGTGGGCCCGTCTTGCTGTATCATTCTTCTTGCTTCGAGGAATTGATGATTCAACGGGATGGCCTCGGCCTCAGGAAACTCGAGTCAGGGTGAGGCCCATCACTGACTAGTCCTGACCCAATCTTGCTCGAAGTCGCCTCTCCGTTCTCCAAAACGTGCCATAAGAAAATCTCTACCCCGTACCAATGAAGCAATGATGACAAAGCACAAGCTCAATGCCGTTATTGTTCTGGCGCTCGACCACCCGGAGCTGGCTGCCCCTTTCGGTGGAGGAGGGCCCCGATAAAGTAAGAACAGCGCAGAAAACATCGGTAGTCGCCTGAGCCGTGCCGGTTGCCAGGTCCGCGGGGCGGGAGGCCGAGGTTTGGTGTACCGTACGGAGCTGCCAACTGGGTAATTCGTAGCATCATAGGTACCCGCAATGAGTCTGGACCACGTCTGCTGGGTGACAGGAGCCGAGGTTCGTTTCGCACTTTGTTGATGGATACCAACGGGATTCTGGCGAGGAAAACGGGGTCCGGGGCAATTGTTGGCTTGTTGCTATGTTCGGTTGAATGATTGCCCCAGCGTCAAGGAGCTTCGACCCAGCTTTCACTTCGTGATGGGATTTCTGATTTCAAAGCCAAATTTCCGCTGGCATTCCACTCCTTGCGTTGTACTCCGTACTCACACGGGAGGCCCCTCCCTCCGCATCGTCGATCATTCATTGATTGTTCTCGAAGTCTCGAAATCTCCGATGACCCTCAAGCGCAGCTAAGCATCGGTGACTGGATGCAAGTGCTTCACTAGCATCCTCGCCTGGCCTCGAACTGTCGCCGCTTCTCGCACTTCGCGTTTCTCGGGCGCGGTATCCGCTGTGATTGTAACCAGTTTGACACCTTCGCGACCGTCGTCAACCCAGAACTCCTCGTAGCCCGTCACTTCGAAGCCCATTTTCTCAAAGCATCTTCGTCCTTCTGGCGTTGCTGTGAGTGCTGCCAAAATGTCAGATCACATCGATATCTCCCTCCCACAATGGACATCAGTCGAAAGCCTGCAACGCCAGCATTGGCCAGCCACCACGAATCACTTACCTGAATAGCCGATGATCGACCATCCCTTCCTCTCTGCAGCAGCTACGACAGCCTGCATCGAGGTCTCGGCGAATCCTCGCACCTTACCCCGCGCCTCAGGCACATCGAACCTCTCGACGTGAAAGACGTGCAGCCCGACCTCTGGATGCTCAGCACCATCGCGAGGAAACATAGTCCCAGCATCCACATCCACTTCCTTGACCTCGCCCGCCAGCAAATCCCGCCACGCAGGTGCCAGTATCGGGAGTGCAATGACGGCTCCGACGAGTGTCTGGGTGTCGTCGTTCTCCACGGCGTCGGCAGAGAGGTAGAAGCAAGTGGCCAGCTCGGGCGCTGCAGTCGTCCAGCTCCGGAGGCGGTCCCAGGTCAGCGGCGCGGGGTACATGTCTTGGTCGGACGCGAAGATGCCCCTCAGGACTTCGTTGGTCATTGGACCCTGGTTCAGAGCAAGAGCTGGTGCTGATGCTGGCATTTCGGCGGTCTTTTGATTCGGCTTTGATAGGAGCTGTGATGGAAAGAAGTCGCGACGAGGTAGTTTGTGGTCGTTGCAGTGTGGAAGTTTCAAAATTTCAATCATGAAATTTGGATTGTGGTGTTGTACAGCACTTCCTTCCTCTGGCCTTCTCTTTGAGGGTGATATGGTGCTGGGTCGCTCTTGGAAAGCGCTGAAGAAGCTACGCTGCAGGTGTTCCCCACCCTACAGCGTGCAAGCTGAGCCCCAGCACATTTCACTTACACCAAGGTCTCTCTAAAGGCACCACTCACAATCACCACCTGATCGTTACAGCCTTGAGTGGCCTTTTTTTGGCGACATGCTCTATTCTCACGACTCTTGTCAGCGTTACATGACGTTATTCCCATGTAACCCATACCCTGAGGCCATCCAATGCCACTCTCTTGCACTGCCGACTTTTTGTTGTGCTCATGTGTAAATGCAAAAGCCTGGTGTCGATGTAGTGCCTCGAGAACTCCTTTCCTTGGTATCCTCCTAGCACTGTCAGACGAGAAACATTGCTGTGCAAAGTCCAGCTGCTTCCTCTCTTGATTGTATAAGGGCCAATGACTAAGCTTCGTCGCCAAACTCAAACATTGCGAGAGGGTCAGGACCACGAGAGATCCAGCGAATCTCACCAGTCAGAGGATCCATGATGCACATGAAGTGAGTCGACTCATTGGTGGTAGGATAGGTAGCGATCCATTCGCGAAGTTTGGCCTCGTCAACGCCAGTCATCTCGCCAGATTTGCTGGCTTCAGCATCAAGCTCAAGATCCGTGCAGCAACTATTCTGCTTGGCCCAGGTGATGTCGTCTCCATTGGTGATAGCACGGACATGTTCAATCCACTTGTCGTGGAAGGCATTCTGACGATCCGCAGACACCTCGATCCAGTCCTCAGATTCCATGAGCTTTGCCCGGGCAGGGTCGGCGCCGTGGCGTCCAGTCATGCGGCCACAGCAGCGTCGATGGTCAGGGTCATGGTTGCACTGAATCTGGAAGACACTGCTCGTCTTGATCTTGCCGTCATGAAGGTCCTTGAGGATGTTCACTACCTCTCTCCCATCGCAGAGGATCAGGTAGCAGGGCGACGCGTCGGAAGAGGCAAGCTTCTTGCCGATGGACGTGATGGGGGTGAGCTTTCTGCTGTCCTCACGGGAACTTGTGTCCTTGGTATCATAGGCCTTGGTATTCTTGAAGGAAATATCCTCGTTGAGGATGATGCGGCGGAGCATTGAGGGAACGGACTCGCGCAAGCCGAATAGGACCTTAATTTGGTGCCTAAGAAGGCTGCCCGAACCACACTAATGGTTTGGGCGGAAGTTGAGAGAGACGGATAGACCTTTGCTAAGATAATCATTAGCCCATGTCAGTCCTCAATGGAAATCTAAGTAGAGCTTACCGGACACCAGTCAGCATGCCGACAAAGCCAGCATAGGTGACTGATCTGGCAATCACCTCATTCGAGTCATTGTTCGTGTTGACATACTCAATGATGACAAGAATATCACGCAGGATATCCATGCCCCACTGCGATGAGTCGTTAGTGCTAGATATTTTTTGTTCAGAAAGGGATATAGCCATACCTCAAGAGTGCGAAAGTGCATCAGATGGTCAGGATTACCGCCGCCAATCTTGCGCTTGGAGTCATTTTTGACCAAGGCAGCTCCAGATGTACATCCAAGCATCAGGTCAAGAAAGGTGTTGAGGGCCATGAGCTGGTGAACGGGGATGCCAGCAATCTCAGCGATGGACTTGATCTCCTTGGTCTGCTCAGGGTCAAAGACCTTACGGAGGGTGAACCGGGAAGTGAACTTGGCAAATCCAGACATGCCCCGAGGTACGGTCGCCTCAATCACCTCGTCAAAGAGAGGGCTCACTTCTCTTATCTTGGGAGCAAGATCCTTGGCGAGCTCAATGTAGCGCTCTTCAGCAGGCTTGCCCATGTCGACCTTGTAGATTGGTATATCATCAGGCTTGAGTGTGAGCATGGTCTGGAAGGCAGCGTGATTCTCATGAAGTGTGCCTTGCAGAGGGTCAAAAGGCTTGGAAGGCTTGATGACACTGTGATCCATGTCGGAGCCAGACTCGAGCATCACCTTGGATGGAGCCGCCATCGTGGCAAGGGTTTGGGGGTGAATAATGAGATTTGCTGAACGTTTCAGATTACTTTGGGAAGCAGGAGATGAAGGAATGAAAGGAGGTCTTACTGTGATGACGATGATATGAATCGCTGATCAGACCTGGGCCTTGTCTTTTGGGTCGATGCTAGTATTGATAAAAGATGCAATGTTGCATGTGATGACGACAACGTGAAATTAGTACTACAGAAGAAAGCCAAAAGAGCTCTTCTCACGCGATGCCAGAAGTGTTAAGTAGATACCTTTGAAGAATATTCTGGTGTTTGGGTTGGGTATCACAGAGAAGGGAGTGCGTAAAGTGGTGGAAAGGTGTGGTGAAGGGGAAAAATAGGGTGCCCAAGCAGGCGGCGATATGGGCTTTCAAATGGGTGCAGGTCCAAGGCGAGTACGGGAAGGGGCGTTTGAGAGCGAAGTTGTTTGACGTGCCTTCCAGATGTAATTGGGGTTTCAAAATCATTCAGGAAGGCAGGAGCAACCAAGTCAATGTGTCTAAGCCTCCTTCTTTTTTAACGAGAAGAAAAAGTATAACGGCTATTTCATCTACCTAGGTATCTGAATCCTCAGTTAAAATGAGTCAGTTTCCTGAGTTGGGATGTGCCAAAGACTCCTTTGGGAATTCGTTTAGAAATTAATCTGAGAAACCAGGTGTAGGGAATAAGGTAGTTTTGAGGGACAAGACGGCGGTCAAGATGAAGAGAGACTCAGGTAAATCCTCAGACTTCTATCAACAGACAATATTATCAAGACATTACAGTGCTTCCTGAGGCTTCGATCACTATCCCTGAAGTATAAAGCTCATCTCACGCATCATGGGGAGAATAGAAGAAAGCGCCAGTTTCATTAGTATTCAATGTAATTACGAGCGAATTCTAGTCTACCTCGCCCCTTGTCCAAATTATGTATAGTTAATCGGTCCTTTCAAAAGGACCCCATCGTACGCGGTGCCAGCATACACATGCTTCGGCACCCTGTAGACTCTAGCGCAGCATTCTATAAGCGCCGTCTATCTCGTCTCTCTCTCCATCGTCACAGCCATACTACCCTTGGGCCGCAGGGTAAAGTTGGGATTGGCAAGCTCTACCACGCCAGTATATCCAGGACGTGGCGAGAACTTGAAGTTCCGCACGAGAGCAAAGATTACGCTCTTAACGTTCAGCAAAGCCATGTTCTTAGCGATGCAGCCTGCCGGGCCCTGGAGGAACGACTCCATGGCGTACGAGTCCTTGGATGCACGGCCGTCGGACCAGCGATCGGGGTCGAAGATGTCGGCAGTCTCACCCCATACAAGGGGGTTGAAGTGTGCCACAGCCGGGCAGAGAGTCACTTGTGTTCCCTTGGGAACGAAGGTTCCGCAGACTGTGACGTCTTCTGCTGCCTCACGAGGGAGGAAGATTCCTATTCATGAATCTGGTCAGCAAATCGAACCCCGAAGTATGTAGTTTCGATAAGGCTTACCAGGGGAGTAAAAGCGCAGCATCTCCTTGAGGAAGTTGTTGACGTAGACCAAATGTTCGGTCTCCTCGTAGGTCGGGTTCCAGTCTCGAGGCTTGCCGGCGCAGAGACCGAGTACTTCTTGCTTCAGGCGCTCCTGCACCTTGGACTCCGTGGCAAGGATATGGGCAATCCACATGGTGATAGATCCAGTAGTTTCGTGGCCTATAACGTAGGGTCAGCGTACATCTTTGGCTGTTCACATTGTGTCTTGTCATACCTCCGGCGATGAAGTTTAGCATCTGTTCATGAAATGTCAGCACACATCAAAGCATCGGGATCACAGGTCTCCGTACGTATTCCAGAAGCTCCAGGTCAGTCCAATTGGTCTGGGTATCGTCAAACTGGCAATCTTCCAAGATGAAGGTTAAGATATCGCGATGCTCAGTTATCTTCTCACTGAGACCAAGCTTCTTCTCAGCAATCATCTCAGCACGGCGGTTCTCAACGCAGGTGAGGAGCATTGTCCGAATCAGGGCAACATCCTTCAGCCATCTCTTGTTGCTAGGAAGAGGGAGCCAAGAGCGGACAGGGATATGGCCATCGATGAAGGTGAGAACGTGGCCGGAAGGAGGCTGGCGGATAATGCGCTCGTACACGTCGTAGAAGTGGGCTTCAGGGATGGAGATGCCGTCGAGATCGCAGCCGATCGAGCCAATGACGAAGACGTCGAGAGTTGCTTTTCGGATGTAGGGTTCGACTTGAGACAGAAGTCAGCATCAGTTAGTCAGGAAAAGACAGTACTTTAGCATACCATCAACAAGCTTGACGTCCTCTCCGCCCATGTTTCGGAAGATTGCTTCACACATCTGATTGGCTTTGAGCTGGAAGACTGGCAGCATCGTGCGCGTATTTTGGTTTGAGAACGCCCCTATGTAGCAATGTCAGTAAAAGTAACGTGAATAAAGCAAGGGGTAACTTGAAATGAAGGAACTCACGGTTCAACTGGGTTCGCTGCTTCTTTCTCTCCTCGCCCTCTGAGAACATGAGTCCATGTCCGGTGATGGGGGAGAACATGCGTGCTGCCAACTGTGACTTTCGGAATGAGAATGCCTTCGTCTGTTGAACCTCTTTGAAAGCCGCCAGACTGTTGACCATGAGAGTCTCAGCATTGAACATAGAGAGGTAGCGCACAAAAGGCGCGTCGGGCCATCGTTTTGTCCAAGATATGAAGATATCGGCTGGCCCCGGGGTTCTGATCTGATTGAGCATCTGACCAATCAGGAAATGACCGCCCTATAAGCTTCGTGAATTAGCGCTTCTGCAATATCTCATATCTTTCAAGTGGTCGTGTCGATCCTTCTGTTGTGTATGTGAGCAAAGTTGGCACTCCTTACCTTTGGTTC